ATGCTGCGGGCAAGTCAACCGTACTGAGAATGGTAAGTGACAGTGTACCAAACAAAGCCTCAAACTCGGAATCTCAGCTAACTCGAGCAGTCTTGCATTGCCGTTATCATGGCCCAAATCGGATGTTATGTTCCGGCTACATCCGCTCGACTTACTCCTGTTGACCGAATCATGTCAAGATTGGGTGCAAATGACAACATTTTTGCGTCTCAGTCAACATTCTTTGTGGAGCTGTCAGAGACGAAGAAGATTTTGGCAGAGGCCACGCCGCGCTCTCTGGTGATTCTGGACGAACTCGGACGTGGAACCAGTTCCTACGACGGAGTTGCAGTCGCACAGGCTGTCTTGCACCACATTGCTACACATGTGGGTTGTGTCGGCTTCTTTGCGACGCACTACCACTCTCTGGCGACTGAATTCGAGAATCATACCGAGATTCGCCCGCGCCGCATGCAAATCGACGTCGACGAGGAAGAGAGGCGTGTCACGTTCCTCTACAAGCTGGAGGATGGCATTGCTGAGGGCAGCTTCGGAATGCACTGCGCCGCCATGTGCGGTATCTCCAGCCGCGTCATTGAGCGTGCAGAGGTTGCAGCCAAGGAATGGGAGCACACCAGCAGGCTCAAGGAAAGCTTGGAGAAGGCCAAGTCAGGTTGCTATATCCCGCTTGGTGTGCTGAGCGACGTGTCGTCCTTGCTCAAGGGCGGCGATGAGATGGAGAAGAGAGGTGTCGAGGTGTTGCTGAAAACTATTGAGGCGCTGTAGAGGCTTTTTGCGCCGGCCATGAAGGCGTTAATGACTGAAGTGTATTGCACGGATAGAAGGTATTCCCGTTGTACTATGGTATGGGTTGAGCGTTTCAAGGAGTTATATCGGGCTTTGTAAGAGAGAAAGACACTTGCTAAATCACAGAAGTATTTGCTCAAAAATCGTTCCTGGTAGTTGCATTGCTCCGACTGGAGAAGCGAAATGTTGGCCTCGTATTAGGTGATGAGTATTTATGTCATGACTTGTATTGTCTTCATTTATATACCATTGGTGCAATAATGCGAGATGCTACTGACAACGCTATGATCTAGATATTCATGATACAGCCATTCCTTTGGGCTGATTACTATGACGCCTCCAATGTCTGTACGGATTAGCTGGCGAACACTGTAAATATGCAAAGGGTAAATCCAAACTCACAATAGCAAAGCGGCTCTTAGCCCGGATCCGCTCACCAAAGAAGACGAGCGCCCACGGAATCAACGTCAAGCCCGTGGCAATCCCACCGAGCAACGAGCCCGCGCGTTCCTCCCCCAGATTTCGAAACAACGCCCCCGTGACGAGCGGGAAGACGCCCCCGAGGATGTTTCGACAACACGACTGCGCGGCTAGCGCCGAGGACGCGTACTTGTGGTAAATGTCGGCAAAGTAGTTGAACGTGGCCAGGTACACCGAATAGATGCCCCACGTCGCGAGCCCGATGCCAAAGGCCGGCGCGATCCAGTGGAATTCTGCCCTTGCTGTGAAGCCGAAGATGAAGAGGCCTGCGGGGAGGAAGGTGGCTGTGATGCAGGTGAAGTAGAGGCGGGACTCGGGTGCTTCTGCGGGGAACCGGCGGCGCATGAAGGTCCAGAAGCGGGAGGAGTCGTCGATGGGGGTGTCGGCTCGCCACTGGGGTAGCTGGAGGAGTCGATCCTGGAGGACGCCGACGATGGTCGCGACTACAGAGCCGACGATCATGGCGGAGAAGAGGTAGCCTGACTGCTCGATGTCCCAGTTCCGCCTGCGTGACATTGCCAAGGGAATGCTCCCGAATGTGCAGTAGAGGACGGCCCAGGCAAAGGCGCACCAGATGGAGAAGAAGAAGACGACGGGTTCCGTGAAGAGGAGGTGGAATGGCCTGGAGGCTGACATGGAAATCAGCTTCGCGATCGATGCCCTTTCTTCGTCCTCTTTGACTAGCCAACGCAACCGTTGGGCTTTGAGCTGAGTAGAACATCGACGACTCGACTGGCAAGTTGCAGATGTCTTTTCAATACCGCAGCAGGAGCACGCCTGCGTATCACCTCCTGAATCCGAAGCCGTGTCTGTGGCATCGCTACTGCCGTTTGTCGTATCCTCCAGCCATATGCCGTAGAAGCCCGCCTTTTCTCGTTCTTCATACCACGCGTTCAGGGCTTCGGCCTTTCTCGATAGAATGACTGACCCCCGACTCTCCTTGAACAGCACAGCAAGTGCAATCACAAGGACGGTGTCGACGATGACCTGGTGCCAGAAGATCCACTTCCACGCCAATGTTCCGTCCCGAGATCCCATCCTCTTGACTATGAGTGAAGCCACTAAAGGACCGGCTCCCGTTCCGGCCAGAACTGCGCCGCTGAAGAGGGCCATGGGGGTGTTTCTCTGCTCCTTTGCCCACAGGTCCGCAATGACGCCGCCAATGACTGAGCTAAAGACGGAACCGCCGACACCGACAAGGAACCGGGCGATGAGCATGGCTGTAAGATTCGGCGCAACAGAGCAGACGGCCTGGAAGATGACATAGACAACACCGGAGATGACAAACACTGGGTAACGGCCATAAATCTCCGACAGGGGCGCCAGCACCATTGGTGAAAGGGCAAAGCCGATGCAAAAGGTCGTGATGCCGGTCAAGACGAGGAGCTGCGAGGTGCCAAGGTCATCGGCCATGATGTAAGACGGTGGAGAATACGAGCCGGCCGTGTATGCGGTGAGAAAGGTGGCGACACACGACAGCGCCAGCATGAGATATTTCCTTGGTTGAGGCCATTGCAGAGGTGAGGTGTAGTTTGACAGTTTCGGGGGTGCTGGCTCTGGCGTCGACTCGGCCGAGTCTTGGAAGAGAATGTCTGCCGGCGCCGGCAAGACAGTATCGAAAGCCAAATATCTGAAAGTGATTGTGCTGTTGGCGTCAACATGGGTGTCGAGTCTTGGTGGCTGAGAAGCCTCGTTGGCACTTGACGAAGTGTTGGTTCCCTTAGACCCTCGAGGCGCCTTTTCGATATCCAGCATCGTGTTCGTCATTGTCGGAAACTACTTTGTTAGAGGGCAATATCAATGATGTCTGGAGCCTCAAAACAAATTTGCAGGCTGAAGATAGAGAGTGTGAATCGATACAAGCTCCATTACCGTTTCCAACTTGATGCTCAACGGGGTTGGAGTACGGTCCATATGGAGATGCGTGAAGCAATGAAGGAGTTGAGTGAGTGAGTGAATCACCACGAAGCTGGCGTCGAGGGAACTGCAGGATATAACAGTTTGTGTTAGTGAACCTCCACCCACACGAGAAACGGCAATATGAGACGTCCCAGGGTCGGAAATGTGAACGGGAATAACGGCGGATGGATCCCACCCAGTCACGTCGGCAGCGGCTATGCCCCCGGTCAGCCGAGGGTCTACTCACACCAAGGTACCTGATGAAAGGTGGGAGCTAAGGTAAGTAGCGGTCAGAGTCGGGATGAGGACGGAAGTCTGGATGCGATGTGATGCGACGCCATGCGGCACTCTGGCTCGGCCAGCGGCTGGCTGAGAAACGGGAAGAAGGCCGCGATGCCCTCACCGTTGATCGTGGTAGGCTCAAACTGACGCCCGCTGTCTATCCGACTTTCCTCACAAGAGCCCGCCGCAGAGAGGAGCTGGAAAAGAGGCAGGACTCAAATTTCATCGACAAATGCCACTTGGACAAGACTTGAATGCCTCAAGTTGAGCGAGCTGCCCGCCTAAGTAGCACATCGCAATCGGAGGCGCAGCCGCAGGCACAAGCGCAAAACGGGCTGCAGATCATCAACGGGACCATAATTCGTGAGGGCTCGAGGGGGCGTGGGGCATGACTGCTGCGTTGTTCGGGGCCTAGCTCGTCTAGCGCCTCCATGCCTGTCGAGAATGCTTCATCAATGTTCAAGCCAAGCTGGAGAAACCCCAGCTTTCAGATACGGCCAAGCCGAAGCCACAGCAAGACGCAGACTCCACGAGTCCACATTGAGTTGAAGAAAATGGAGTCAGTCTCCGTACGGATAGGTAGTACTGTGAAGTGTGGACAGACGAGATCGTTGACAGATTCAACTAGTCAGTCACTGGACCGCCCTTTGGAGATGGAAACCGTCATCTTGCCTTCTGGTCTCATCTCGTTTTGGCGTTGCCAAGTTGTCCGGTTTTCTGGCACACCCCGTCTGATTTTGGTCTTACCCCGTTCAGGCTTCCCTGTCCATCTGGGGTTGAAGCGGCGTGGCATTCGAACTAACGAAGTATATCTGTCTTCTTTTCCGCTCTATTCCCGGTGAAACACCCCAGACGGTACGTAGTCTCTGGCAGCGTCATTTATGAAGATGGATCGGTTATCGGCCACTTTCTCCATCCCCACGATGATGAAAAATGCTTCCTGTTTCGGGCAAAATGGGTAGGGCCAGTACTCAGACTTGGCCGCCGGCTTCTTACAGAGTCTACCATATGCGTGGTAAGTAGAAAGGCGACCGCAAAATAACAGCAGACATGGACCTACGATACTCAGCTCATGCTCAGCTCAACGACCCTGGCTCTACATTACCACGGTATTGGTAACGGCCATACTTTGGTCGTCCCGTACGGGCCATGCCGGTACGGGCCATGCCGGTACGGGCCATGCCGGAACTTTACGGCCAACTGTGAGTGAGAATTGAAGAGGGGGTGGGCGCTGGGCCGCAGCGGCTTGATGCTCAAAACCGTGCAATTCCCGTCGCGCCCTGAGTCATGGTCCCGGGCCCGTCGCCGTCGGACGTCTCTTCATTCTTCCAATGTGACCTTCCACGCCTTCCAAGTACGGAATTCCTACGCGCGATAATCCAAAAACGTGAAAGATGTCAAAGACAAAAAACGCATTCCATTCCGAAAGAAACCGAAGTACAGCAATGAGCATGTACCTAGCTCTTCTCTGAAACCACCACCGTCATTAATGTTTCGAGAAGAGACTTACTTACATACCCCTCCAACCAACCAATCATATGTCTCCAACTTGACGATGCAAGTGAATCCAGAACCTCTGTTCCTCAACCTAGACCCAATGCTTACCACGATAAGCTGCCGAGCCTTTCTCAAAACCAACACCCTCCGTCTGACTTCAACCTCGATAAACGTAATGCGGGTGGCCGACACCATGAAGCTCGGCGGGAAGCTCAGCGACAACCCGTGCTGGATGCAGCTCGTACGCAGGGTATGCGGCAGGCAAGGTGCGGAAACTGGCGTTGGCTACCTCGCTGGACGCGTGATAGTGCTGGGATAAGTCAGGCTCCGAGTACGCACGTGAGGTAGATTGAGACATGGCCATGCTGTGGCCGTTTTCGTTGAAGTGCTGGCGAGAAGACTCTCCCTGCTCACTCTCCTGAATGCCAGCAGCAGCATCAGCAGCAGCATCTTCCTTGATCGCATGTCTTCGGCGCATGTAAGCGCGCATGATGCAGAGGAAGACTAGGAAGAGAATGATGCCACCGACAACAGCAGAAATGATGATGATCAATGTGTTCCTGGGAAGTGTAACATGGGGTTCCTCGTTAGGTGAACCAGTCGACTTGGGCAGCGGCGTGTTCTGTTCGGTAGACGAAAGCGTGGAGGTAGTCAGCGAGGGAAGCTCAGTAGTCATCATGGTTGTGATGATTGGCAACAGTGAGGAGGTGGTGAAGGTAGTTGCCAAGGCCGACGTCAATGCTGTCTCTTGGAGGGTGATGGTCACTGGAAGGCAAGATTAGAAATATTCCCAAAATAGAGGGCTTTGGAAGTCGGAAGGAAGGCGCAAATTAGACTTACCAGTAGCTGTCTTACCACCTTCGGTGTGGATGCGAGTGACAATGGGCATTCCATTCTCGGTGTTGCCTTTGGTCTGGGAAGGGCTGGGCACCGGGTCGCGGGACGGCGAGGTATCGTCGCGGGGCTGGGAAGCGAATTGGCCCATGGTTGCTGTTATGACGTGAGAGCTACTTGCCTGAGACTGGTGATCCGTCGTATACCTTGTGTGTAGCAAAGGCAAGAGGCAGTGGAGTCAACTCAAAAGCAAGGCTGATGGCGCTGTGGATGCAACCTTCGATGCGTCTGTGGTCAGCTTCTGAGGCGGCTCAAAGTGTGGCCAGAAAGTTAAGAATATCTCTCTTTCAAAGCACTCGACCGGTTTCCTGCCGCCTGCATGCGTTGCTGGAAATCAAGACGATGACCTAGCCACAGGTAAAGGTAAAGATGTGAGGGGAATGGCGGGAATCCAATTCTTCGACAGGCAAAAAGAAGTGAGGCGGTCGGCAATGTGAACAAAAAGAAGAGAAATTCCACTCCTTCCTCGGCAGGATTGTTGCGAAGGCGGTATGTTTTTACTGGAAGGCGGTACCTACCTTAAAGTGCCTTCCCTTAAGATATTTTAGTGAGGTGAGTGAGAGACGGAAGGCGGAAGGAGAAAAGCCCGTATAATTCAGATGAAAAGAGCAGGCACGACGGGAACATTGAAGGCACCTTCCTGCCCTGATAATTGATTCATCAAAATCTGAAGCGTATACATCATGGACCTCAATTAGAGGAAGAGTGAATAAACAGCTCTTAAGACGAACACCAACACAAGATCAGGTCCCTCTCTATCCTACCTTACGTAGGTGGAATTTTATGAATCCTGGAAGGAGGTAATATTCACACGCCACAATGGTCTGAATAACTACTCTTCTTTTCTTTCTACCGCGTGCTAATAAGAGGTGATCATAGCTCTCTGTTTTATACAGGATGTCTGCAGTTACAAACATATCATGAGGAGATGATAAATCACAACGTCCTCCCCAAGCCACTTCTAGATGTCTCTCCCTTTCCAATTTCATTGCAGAGTCGCAACACAATCTTAGTACTAAAATCTCAGACCGATAAAGTTTAACAACAGCCAAATGGTGCGCTTCTGTTTAAGTATTTGGCTTTGACTTCCCTCAACTTCAGGTGGTGGTATACTGGTATAACATAAAATTTCAGCGAACCTCGCAACCATTCCAGTAGACTTAGACAAGTCCAAGACACATGTGTTGAAGTATTCCAAAGCACATCCTCCTCGCTGAGCCCTGCCCAGTTTATCGAACAGCAACTAGTTCATGAATGTGTGCAGAGCGCGCATCTACTGATGACGGGACAAGAATTCATTACACGCGATGACACCCACCCATGATAGAATACAATATCTGCTGGCCCCTGCAGATTATAGCATAATTCGTAACGAGCTCCTTGACCTCAACCTCACCGTCGTCTTCGCACTTCTTGAAATATCCTCTCGGACATACTCATCCCATCGAGGTACGCTTATCACCGCGTTGGCGCTCGAGTTGTCTTCCTGACAGTGACCAGCTGCCCAGCTTTAGGTGAACTTGATGTCGTAACCATGGATCAGCCTGGAGATACAGCACCAGAATGGAGTCTATGATGGATACGTCTCATTCTTCAGATGGCAGCACCTCCCTCCCATCGCTGTAGGCATTGCCGCTACCTTCTTCTGTGCACTATCGCGCATGATCTTTGCTGTAATTCTTGACCAAGTATTCTAGATTATCAAAGAATTTGGCAGCGGTATCTCCAGATTTTCGGATGCCATGGTTTCAACATAACAGTGGTATGTCATCATCTGCCTTCCCGGGGTGGGTGCTTGTTGTTGGAAACCTCATGTTACTATCGAGCTGGGTTATTTTTGGTGAAATCTAGGCGTCTAGCTGGCGGGAAAGCGTGTCCATTGCCTGCTTGTTTGTAAAATTGGAAGCACCTCCGTCTTCGACAATACACAGCAGACCTACATAGCAGACGAGGTTCAAGGAGTACGCGGCACATATCTTTTACAGCCTACCGTTTCTTCTCTGCCTTTTGATTGCAGACCTACGTTAGATCAGGACAGCCAGACATGGACTCAGCGGTGGACAGAAACCACAGCACGCATGAGCGCAGGCGAGACTGAGGGAACCCCCCGATTCTGATATTGGGATTATGGCATGGGAATTGTGATGGCGACACATAATCGGGGTATGATGCGCGTAGCCCATCACATATTAGTATTGGAAGACGGCCGAGTGTTGGATGAACAGCGCTGCAAGACAGGGGTACTCTTAAAGGTCGCTGAACAAGGCCAGCCGAGGAGAATTCCGGACGCATCCTAGCTTTTCACAATCTTTTCATGGGAGGAGTTCAAAAGAGTATCTCGATTTCAGTTGCCTGGCATATTGCTCAGTTTCAAGTATATACCTTGCTCAAGTTACCAGCATGATTAAGTCCCATGATATCGCCTTCTCATGAGCCATGGCCGAGGATGGTGAAATGAGAGCGATGTCCAGACCTTAAATGCCATACGCATCATACAGCCACCGGGTCGAAACCGTGGCATTCCCAGCTCAATGAGATTCTACGTCCGAGATCGTGAGACCATTCGCAGCTCGATATTCATGCCCATAGCCTGTCAACTCGGGCGAAGCGCTTTCTGGCCGAGGTGATGAAGCACGGGTGGTATCGCAAGTCAATATTTGGTTGGCGACGTCTCATAAGACGGCGTCCATTGTCGGATAAATCTCTCCTTTAGCTAGACTTGTCGGCTTGGGCCTTCTCGTAGACCCAGTCGTTCAGACCGTTACGGTTTCTCGCAATCTCGATGGCGTAGAACTGCATACGGGGCGCTGTAATGCGGGTTAGCAGACATGCGGGCCGAGTTCACCGAAGACAGTTTTGGTGGGATTCAGAATAAGGTTGACGGAAGGTCACTGACCGAAAATGACCTCGTTCTGGCCATACTCGAACTTGGGGCTGGCGCGGAGCATGGTGCCAAAGTTGTAGTCGTCGACCTTGTTCTCGTAGGCCATCATGAACTTGCGCCACCGTTCCTTGCCGGTCTTGCTCTTCATCTCATCCTCGTTGATGGTTGCGGAGGGGTCGAACTCGGGGAAGTCGGTCTTCAGGTGCTCGTAGATCTCGTCGTCGATCTTGGTCAGGCGCAGCGTGGAGCCCTTGACCTTCTCAAGGATCTTCCAGTAAGTTTCCATGTGCTGGACGACTGCGGGCAGGCGCTTGCGGTTAGCTCTCGATCGCGAATAGGTTCGAAGGTTATAGTCGTAGTGTGCGTACCCTTGACGGCGAATTGCTTCTCGATCTGATCGCAAGGGAGAAGTCAGCGCATTGCGTTCGCGACAAGGAGAAAGGAGGGGTTTGAGCTCACATCCTCGAGGTTGTCAGCCTCTTGGGCGTTGAAGTTGGAGGGAACTGGCGCCGACATTATGACAGAGTTTCTGGGTTGGCTGTGCTCAGTTGTGCTGAGAGAGAAGGTGGTGATTGTGTGAGCGTGGAGGGGTTGGAAGAGGAAGCTTTCAAGATGATGGTGGGGCAAGCAGTGACGAACAGAGCACCGCTGGGCAGTCAGGCATCGCGGGGTTCTTTTTCGTTCTTTTTTTTTTTTTTTCCATCCCCACCTTTTCCCTAAGCTGGAGTACGTACCTACTTGTACAACGGTACCTTACACTAACGTCAAAACACGAAGGTAATAACAACTCCATCGAACTCCAAGTCTCATCAAACCTCCCCCAGCCGAATATGTGTCGATACACTTCAGCGACGACGTTAAAATGGACGTCGTTGGCAGCCACTTCCCATCAACTCTTAGTCTGTGGTTCATTATTCTGAACCGCGGCAGTGCCGCGAGTTTCCGACAGTCTTAGACATCTTCTCAGATAGTCGCTCTGGATGTCGTTCCATCTTCCAGCCAGCTCCCTTCTGATTCTCGAGACGACCAAGCCGACATTGCCCAGTCAGATGTCACGGACGCTTGTGGACTAGCATCAACCTCCCTCTTTGACATGCTTCGTCGCAATTTGTGAACCAGGACTTGCATTCTGTGTTCAAGGCTCGCCGCGTCTGTGGCTACCGATTCTTGGGACGTCCTTCCGATCAGCTGCGTTCTGCTGTCCGGACGTTCACTTGCGTCGTTGTCCTCTGAAATCTCTTCAATAGGTCTAGACGCATAGCAGACCGACATACGTCCATCCAATGGGTTTTCGTACGGTCGTGTCAGCATGACTGCTCCCTCTGGAAGACAGAGACCGCGCAGGTACTGTCGAGAATGATCATCCAGCTGGAATTTACCATGTCCTTTATCGACCCACGACTTTTGGCCGGGAATTCGCGGCCATACTGAAGATGGTGCCACGCGATAGGTATGGTGCTTCACCTCGTCGCTTCTCTCGGGGACGGGAAAGATACGGCCCAGGAGAGAATGCGTATAGCCGTTGCTGAAACCACAGAGGCGCATCGAGTCGACCATGCCCTCTAGGCGTACGAAGGGCTCGCAGACTCTTAGGAACTCGTCCGGGCAGTAGGAAAAGTCAGCACCGTAGCTCGATCGCTTGGGTGCAAACACCTGGTCCGGCTTCGTCGACGTTGCTTGGTCATTCTGGTCGGCGGCAGGCCTGGAACCTGGAGGCAGATGGTCGGAAGGACGTTCACCCCAAAATCTCCGGCAGAGAAGCACTAGGCTCTTGAGTGTCGAGTAGGTTTTACGCCTCAACTGGCCTTGAACGAAAGCTCCGATGAGATCATCCATATTGATGGTTCCCGCGCGCAGTTTGCAGGCCTCCTTGCCTGGCCCGAAACCTAGCCGCGTCAGGTCGAGCTCGACGATAACTTGCTGCATGAAGTGGCCGTATTTGTCGCACCACAGCGTTGCCAAGGGGTTCAAGTATGGCCCGACGAAAGGCGACAGGGTGATATGGAATCGTTCTCCCATGAGAAATGCAACCATCATGTCCGCGCGCAGAGCGAAGGATACATCGAGATACGGCCGCAGAGGCCCCATGGCAGCCGCGAGCGAAGTGTACTCATCGTCACTCCAAACCTCTCTCATGAAACGACCGTCGTTGAGGCAAATGGGTCTGTCGGAGTTGTAATCGGCAATAAGATACTGGCATATCTTGAAGCGCGCAACTGCGGGCAAACTGAGGTACGGGGAAATCGGTTCATGCTGTTGCTCTCGCTTGTGGTCAGCGAAGAAAATTGCGATCGAATTCTCAAAGTCAATGGCTTTGTCGGGCAACGCCTGTCCACGTCGGTTTTGATGATAAACGATATCGATCGACCGATCCCAGGGCGGAAGGTTCTTGCGTGTTGATCCAGCTGGCCATCCCGACTTGGGCTTTTCCATCAACGTCCGGGCTGCCTTCGGAGGTATAGCCGCGGGAAAGGGATAGGGCAAAGGGGTCGAGATGTTTCTCGTCAATGCCGACTTCGGCTTCGTCACTGCGGCAGAGTCAGTATCAACATTTCTCGACGGCGATCAACTCGAGAAATGAAGGTGGTCGAGGTGCGAACTCACTCTTGCTGGTGGTGCAGCTACGATACTGCCAGGTTGGCGGTTCCGAGTATCTTGTTGTGGTTTTTTTCCTGCTTGGCCTATTCTTCTTTCTTCAAGTGAAGTAGATCGCGAGATTCAGGAATAAGGTACGCGAAATATTTTGTGTTGTGTTGTTGAAGTGCACCACGGTCACGGCAGGTGGTGGAGACTGATGGATATTGGTAAGGTTCAGATTCACTGAGCGGTCAATTGTGTATTCTCTTCTACGTGTATTCACTTCCACCTTCCTCTCCACGCTTCACCTTCACTAGAATTTCATCTCGTCTCTTCACTGGCGCTTCTGCCTCTAATTTGAGGAAGAAGTGGTTTCGGTGCCTTGTTCTTTTCGAAGCGAAACAAGCTCACTGAGAACAGAATCAGCGAGATCGTCACCAGCCATTTCTATGCACATTGAATTACCTTAGTTCCAATGGGCTCTAGATCAAGAAAACATCGTCTACATAGCTCTGCAGCTGTTCGTGTCCGGTTGCACACCGATGGCTGACCCGCTTCTTCGGCGCCGAGTGGATCACGACTCCGTGCATCCTTCGGGAGCTTAATCGGCCATGCTCCGGTGATGCACCTGAGGTGGTCATGGTAGTACCATGGCGAAGGAGAATCGCTGCCAATATACCGTACCCATTGTGTATGCATGCTCACTACTTACATACACTATCAAACGCAGTCAATACCGTCGAGTTTGCTGCGCCGTCATCACCCGAGGACAGTTATTCGTCGGTTGGTGCAGGGGTGCTCATTCAGAACTGACAATATGCCGCGGCTCGGTCAAAGGATAGCGAGGCAAGTCGGAGATACCGGCAAAATTTCTCCCTCTCTTTACGTCTTGCGAATAGAAAAGAGGATGGTCCAGACACAGGCAATCGAAAGGGAGGGCTGCAGATATCTCGCCAAGTGTATTGGCACCGCGCATCTAAGCTCAAGGGGACGAACGCCACCGTGACGGCTCGGGTGATCCCCTCCGACCGTTGGGCGTCCGTGTTATTTACCTGGTAGCTATTGGTCCAACGGGAAATGGGCTTGTTCCAAGGCGAGCTGCACCACCCATGTCACGTACAGCAAGTTCTTAGTTGCTACCCCATTCCCCATTTCCCTCTCCAAACGAGCCGCCAAACCAATACCTTCAAATCTAACCCTAGTCTCTTTGAACGGGGTTCGGGTCGGAGTTAACAACTTCTAGCCTTCTCCTCGCCCGTTCCCTCGTTGATTTCCTCCAGAGAGGGGGGAAACGCACCCCAATTGAGGTATTCGGCTGCGTTCACCCATGTTGAGGGTGGTGTGGAGTGTGGTCTGACCTTGTCGAGTCAAATCCCCGTTGCGATGGCCGGTGGGCAGCGACAAGACCACATGGCTGATTGTTTAAGAAGCGCAGGGGTCCATGACTGTTGTGCTTGAGGAATCGTTTGTCTCTTGCTTCTTTTTCTGTTGAGTGACTCTTTGGTGGATACCCGATCTCTTGACTTGTGTAACATTATATCATTTTCCATCTCTTACGCTTGAGATCACGACATCATTTTGACTCCAATTGCATATAATACCCATCCGTTCAATTAGAACAACTCACTAGAAGCTACTGTTGCTGGCAGACCAGCTTGCCTGAATAGATCTACAAGCGTCGTCTGTCGCGAGGGACTGCGGATCTAGGCCTTCCTGGATATAAAATCAGCTTAGGCAAGTCTGCTCCTTCTCTTACACGAATGTCGCAAGCATCCTACATGATTCATGGAGGATGTAAATACAACCACCATATCTCCAAATGCCAAGCTACCGGATAGTGTTCCTGAGTGCCAAGCTTTTTTTCTACTCTCACACTTCTCGCAACTCCTGGCAGATACATGGCTCCACATGAACCCAGTGTAAGTGGTCATCGAAACTAACACCAAGGCAGGATATTATCAAGCTCCAATGGCATCAAACACAAAAGAGCCGCGCCACTCCGCGGAAGAAGGAGCGACAACGAGCAGCATATCCCACGAAGACAAGGAAACAAAAGGTCTCTACCGACTAGAACGCGAACCCACAAGAGAAGAGAAGACGGCAGAGGCCCTGGCAGAGGGCCACGATGCCGACATACCCTCCAGCATGGGCTACGTCCTCGGCGAACGCGGCGAGGAGAAGAGGAAGCACTCACTCGCGCTGGCCCGGACGAGATCTCGCAAGTCTATGGCGCGCGAGCACGTGGAAAGGGGCGTCGGTGGGGGTGGTTCGGTAGAAAAGGACGGCGATGGCGACGGCGGCGAGAGTTCCGAAGACGAGAACATTGTCTGGTGGGATGGTCCGGACGACCCGGCGAATCCGTACAACTGGCCGAGCTGGCTCAAGGTCCTCAACTGTAGCCTGATCAGTGCCATGACGTTCGTCACACCACTGGCGTCCTCCATCTTTGCCCCCGGCGTGCCGGATCTCATGCGGGAGTTTCACAACAACAGCCCCTATCTGGCTGCCTTTGTCGTCTCCGGTAAGCACACACCTCTCAACCTCTTCTCACTTCATCCATCATCCATGCTCAAGGCAAAAAACATACTGACAACAAAACGCAGTCTACGTCCTAGGCTTCGCAGCCGGACCCCTCCTCTGCGCGCCCCTCAGCGAAATCTACGGCCGTACGATCGTCTACCACGTCTGCAACCTCTTCTTCATCTGCTTCAACGTCGGCGCCGCCCTCGCCCCCACCCTCAACGCCCTCATCGTCTTCCGCCTCTTCGCCGGCGTCTTCGGCTCCGCGCCCATCACCAACGGCGCGGGTTCCATCTCTGACATGATCCGCCAGGAGAAGCGCGGCGCGGCCATGGCGGCGTTTAGTATCGGCCCCCTGCTGGGCCCCATCATCGGCCCCGTGGCGGGCGGGTTCCTTGCTGATGCTGCGGGCTGGCGATGGGTCTTTTGGCTTATTGTTATTGTTAGCGGGGTGCTGAGTATTGTCATGCTCGTCTTTTCGAAGGAGACGTACGCGCCTATTATTCTTGATAGGAAGGTGAAGCGGCTCCAGAAGGAGACTGGGAACCCTCTGCTGCGGTCGAAACTCGATATTGGACTCTCTTCGGTCGACTACCTCAAGCGGGGTATCATCCGTCCTATCAAGATGATTGCCTTTTCCCCAATCACCCAGATCTTGTACGTAACCCTCCTCTCACATTGAACCTCATCACGATGACCATTGCTAACAACCCCAACAGCGGCCTCTATATCGCCGTAGTCTACGGCTACCTCTACCTAATGTTCACCTCCATCACCTCAGTCTTCATGGGAACCTACGGCTTCAGCGCCGGCACATCAGGCCTAGCCTTCATGGGCCTCGGCGTCGGCTCCATGATCGGCGTCGTCTTCTTCAGCCTCTCCTCCGACAAATACGTCAAACGCAAAGCCGCAGAAGCAGACGCCGCAGCCGACGAAGCCGGCACAGTCCGCGAGGGGATGAAGCCGGAATACCGCCTCGTCGCCCTGCCCGCCGGCGCCGTCTTCCTCCCCGCAGGCCTCTTCATCTACGGTTGGACGGCCGAGTACCACATCCACTGGTTCGTGCCTATTCTGGGCACGGCCATCGTCGGTATCGGGAACCTCATCATCTTCATGGCGCTGCAGATGTATCTCGTCGACGCCTTCACCGTCTACGCCGCCTCGGCACTCGCCGCCAACGCTGTCGTGCGATCCGTGGCGGGAGCGACGTTGCCTCTTGCGGGTCTGAAGATGAATCAAAATTTGGGCGTTGGCTGGGCGAGTAGTATTCTGGGTTTCATCGCTGCCGCCATGTTGCCGGTGCCGTTGCTGATTATGAAGTACGGCGAGCACTTGCGCAAGCGTTTCGAGCTCAAAGATCTGTAAGTAGACGTGGCTGGGTGGATCAAGTCTGGAAGGCCTGTCGTGTGGGACATGCAGTCCTCAAAGACATAGATAATGCACATCATAAGCTACCCAAGTCAATATGGTATTATCTTGATGTGTGCCGATGGAGGGGCATGAATGAATCATCAAAATAATCCAACGAACCTCCGTTCTTTTTGGGCTCTATCTCGCTGGTCGCTTTCGAGAGACCTTCCTTAGTGATTAATGGTCCATCGTAGTGCGTTGCTTCCATCTCAAGCTGATCCCGCTGGAGACTTTCCTCGCGTCTTCTCAATGACGCGAGCAGAGCCGTTCTCACCTGGCGTTGGCTGGAAAAGGACGGAGCTGTTTTGTTAGTGTCCTTAAGAGGTAATATGTGACTTTATCACCGCCATTGCCGTCCGTAAAAGAGACTTCGTCTCATTGGGTCCGTCATTCTGAGCTCCCTGCGAGAGCTGAGGTGTCGTCTGATTATTAATCATTCAACTTCGGATGAACTTCGACACAGGTAGGTAGTCGCGTTTTAACGATTTGTTTTGGAAGGTGATATCAACTTTATTCATGTGTGCAAATCATACTCGTGTGTGCTGGACAGTCTAGTCCACCATCGTCTATCACGGTTTACTAGGTACTTTGGTATCTCCCGCACGCCGACGGGCATCTCTTTCTCTTTTCATTCCTCATCCACAATCCAATCCATTACAACGTTCCAATGCCAAGGTGCTCGGGGTCGGCCTTGACGATACGCAGGGTGTTTGTGTTACCCATGCCGCCCTTCCAGCCCTGGACAACGACGAGAGTGTCGCCCTTGCTAACGACGTTGAGCTCCAAAGCGTGCTCAACACCCCACTTGATGCGGCGGTCGACATCCTCTTGCCAGTTGACCTTGCTGAAGTCGGGCTTGGCCTCGGGGAACAGGAAGGGGTAGACACCACGGTACAAGTGAGCGTAGCGGGATGCGGAGGCGTTTCTTGTGACCATGAAGATGGGGCAGACGGGGCGGTACTTGGACAGAAGGCGGGCAGACTCTCCGGAAGTGGAGAGAACGATAATGCCACCAGCGTTCAGGTCGAGGGAAGCTCTGACAGCGGCCATGGCGCAAGACTCGACAACACTGACGGGGCGCTTGACCAAGGTGCACATCTCCTCGAAGTGGGAAACGTAGGGGATGGTGTTCTCGGCCTTGAGGCAGGCCTCGTGCATCTCAGAAACGGCCTCGTTGGGGTAGCTACCCTTGGCGGTCTCACCGGACAACATTACACAGTCGGCACCGTCGGTGATAGCGTTACCAACGTCACTGATCTCGGCACGGGTAGGGCGGGGGTTCTTGATCATGGACTCGAGCATCTGGGTGGCGCAGATGACGGGCTTGCCGGCTCTGTTGCAGAGGGCGATCATCTTCTTCTGGGCAGCGAAAACCTCGGCGGCGGGAATCTCGATGCCGAGATCACCACGGGCAACCATGACACCGTCGGTCTCGGCGAGGATCTCCTCGAAGTTGTTGAGACCTTGACGGTTCTCAATCTTGGCAATAATCTGGATGTGCTTGCCCTCGGGACCGAGAACATCGCGGATGTCCTGGATGTCCTGACCGCGGCGGATGAAGGAGGCAAAGACCATATCGACGTTGTTCTTGACGCCGAATCTGAGATCGTTCTTGTCCTTCTCGGAAAGGGCGGGAAGATCGACATCGGTGTTGGGCAGGTTGACACCCTTCTTGGAGGAGATGAAGCCGTTGTTGCGGGCGCGGACCTCGACGGTCTTGTCATCCTTGACGCTGAGGACGTCGAAGGCGAGGACACCGTCGTCGACGTAGATGATGCGGCCGGGCTCAATGACCTTGGTGATGTTCTTGTAGTCGACGTACCTATCGGAACGACGGTTAGTACTGTCGTGGGAGGGGCTTTCTGGGGAGTCAGGAGCTTACATGTTGTCGGTGTCGCAAGCAGTGGCGTACTGCTCGTCGGTGGTGAAGTTCAGGATCTTGCCGGCGGCGATGGGGAGATCCTCATCGTTCTTTGTGTTTCCGGTACGGATCTCGGGGCCCTTGGTGTCGAGGGCAATGGCAATCTGACGGCCAGGCTGGGCCTTCTCGGCGGCGCGGGCATTGTCAATGACAGACTGATGGTACTCGTAGCTGCCGTGCTGTTCAGAATGGAGGGGTTAGCAAGGTGCGTGGGCTTGGTGGGGGTTATCTTTTAGCGTCGACGCCGGGGAGCTTACGGAGAAGTTCATGCGAACAACGTTCAGACCGGCCTTGCGCAGAGCGTTGATGGCCTCGACGGAGTTGGTCTTGGGGCCAATGGTGCAGATGATGGAGGAACGACGGTAGTTCTTCTCGGGCTGGTAGGCGGTGTCGAGGCTGGAGAGCCATGCGATCTTGCCGCCGACATCGAGATGGTCCTTGGCGGTAGCAGCCATTGTGTCTAGATGTGTGTATGTGTGTTTGGACGGGTGATGAGGAGAGTTGAGAGGAAAAGGTCGATCACCGTAGGATGTATGTAGCAGAGAAGAACTGTGCTACTTAAGGATGGTCGAGGCGAAAGGGAGGAGTGGAAGAAGAGAAGGAGGGGTCTAATGCGGTTGTTAAATCCTGCTGGGAGTGGGGGTGGGCAGAGAGAGAAGACACGGAGGGAGAGGTCAAGGCAAGGTCAGGCAAGGTACGTAAGGCCAAGGGGAGAGATAACTAATAAAAAAATAAATAAAAAAAACTACGATAAAAAAAAGGTCATACAAATCGACGAGGTTGACGAGTGAGACTCTTGTTTCTTGGAGGGTGGACAAGCCAATGCAGGATTTATGCACAAGATGATGTATTTGAGCATCAGCCTCAGCCAGGTATTTGTTGAAGACCAACCTAAGGTATCTTGAGGTAAGGAAGGTAGGAGAGACAAGAGAGGCAGACACGAGGGGAAGGGACGAGAAACAATTTGCTCCTGGCCCAAACAAGTGAAGCTGCCCGGCGGCGCGCTCCTCTTGCTTGCTGTCGGCGGTGGTGTCGGCGCCTTTTTTTTTCCTCCCTCTTTTTTTTTCTCAGTCTGTCCGGGTGGCCACCGCTTTGCCCCTCGTTGAACTTCGTTCCCTGCACCGGCCGGCACCACCCCGTTTGGTGAGGTGAGGGGGAGGAAGGTGCTGAGGAGCCTTGTGCCCCTCAATCCAACGGAGTGGTCTGTGCACCTCAGTCCGTGGCCGGATGGCAGGAGGGGAGCCCCCCAAGCACCCCCAGTCCCTTCCCTCCAATCCCTGCCAGAATTGGAAATGGAAGCAATGGGCAAGTGCACCTAAGTGCAGCTTTGGCAGTAGCAACTTTTGGGGGGGCCCCCCCACCAATGTGAGGAGCTTGCGGTGACAGGTACCCTGCCAGCACCTGCCTTACCTCAGCTCAGGCCTCAGGGTCCTGCGCTTCGCACCTGCCTGACACCTCCCACTTTCATCCGCCTTATTGCCATCTCATGTTGACCGGAAAAAAAAAGAGACGACGGAAGGAGACACGGAGGAGCTTTACCAGGTAGGAGACTTCCCAATTAAAGCATAACGTATTTCTGCTTCATCTCCTGCTCACCTCATCTTAAACCTCTTCACCTTGCTCATCCACCAGCTGGAAACGCTTGGCCAATGAAGCAACATGCACACGGACCGAACAAGGTTTACGCAAATAGCACATACCAAAACGGCCCGGGATATGGTGAGGCGCCCCAAAGTTGGGTGAGGTGAGGTGAGGTGAGGTGAGGTGAGGTGAGGGCCGCACGTCAGGCCAGCCCAGAAAAACAGCGTGGTTTCACCAGACAGTAGACAAGAAAATAAATAGATGCCAACTGGAAACCGCAACAGAAACATTCAAGGGGTACGAAGTAGCAACGCAACGCAATGCAATGATACGACGGCACGACCCAAGACCACCGACGGAGTGTGATCCACTCACCGAGTATCCGTACGTCGTACTATTTATTGCCCAGCGCTCGAGCGTATCGAGCTGGGCAATAGGCACAAGTAACAGCAACTGCAATGACAGTACGAACATGAAGAGAACGTGAAAGGGCAACAAGAGGATCGAATGACGGAAGGAGATGATGCTCGGATAAAATGGGTGACGATGAGGGATTTCAGTCGCTTCCATTGGATCCAACAGCATCCAACAGTCTAGCTCCAACTTCGGCCATTCTCTCGTTTTATTTCACTTCACCATCCCATCCTCTAACCTCCCACTACCTCAAGGCTCACCTCCCGTCATGCAACTTGCATCTGTCTGACAGGCTGTTGCACACTGGCGCAGCTTCCATTCTGCGACGGAGCTCCGACCAAGCTCCCTTGGGCTGAGTCTAAGTCTGAGTTGAGCTGCCCGATTTTTAAAGCCTCAAACACTCAACAAACTAGAAGCCCATGCCGGGGCGGGCGGCGGCGGCGGCGGCGGGCCACACACTTCCTTTGGCTCTTTTGGTTTTGGCTCCGGGTCTGAGCTTCTAGGTTCCTTTGCCAAACGGCAAACCAGCCCGATCGCCCGACCCCTCCAGAAAATGGAAAATGGAACGCACCCATGGCACCTTGAAAAACGGCAAAAAGCCCCTCCGTGGAAATGGGCCCCTCCATCCGCTGGAGAGAGGGCAAGGACTGCAAAAATGCATCACCTCAATCCTTGGAAACTGAAATGGATGGAAAAGGCCGCTGGGTCTCTCCAGGCCAGAGTATCGGGGTGGAGAGGTCCCCTGGCCCACTTGCACCTTGGCAATGCCTCGCACCTCTCATAAAAATGGCAAATGGCGACAATGCATTTGTCCATGACTCTGTCAGCTCCGGCCAGCTCCAACCTCTCAACACCTGCGTGCGGGCCAATGACCATCTCACCATCGCAAGGGTAGGTGGACCGCCGCCGGTGCACCGTCGGACAATTCCACTTGTGCCGCGGAGGAGAGCAAGTCCAGGCCCCCATCCGAGCTCCGGCTAATCCGCAATGTTGGTGACGCGATTCAAACCGTCTCGATGGTTCGGGTCCGAGTCGCGCTTCTTGCTTCTATTTCCCTCATCATGTCGCAGGGTTTGTGCTAGGAGAGTGACACCCGCAGACTGATGTTGCCATGGAGAGCCCCATAGGAGACATAAGGAGGAAGATGGTCAAAACCCCCGGCTAGGACACCTTGATGCTTGAGGTCCAGGACTTCAGTGTCTCAAAGACAGGTAGTACAATGGTCAGCAAGGCATAGCATCGTCGCTTCTCCACTCGGAGCCACGCGAAGATGAGCTTAATCGACCTCGCACCACCTCCATGATTTAGGTAGGTTTCGATCCCTCTGAAGATACGACACTCGACGATGCCGCTTGTGGAAAAGTCCACAGATAAGATAAGATATGCACCCGTCTGCATATCTTATCTTATCGGTATGCTTGATAACTAGCGCCTGAGGCATCCAAGGCTGCTGGTGTGCACAGTCCACTTGGACAGTCCTCCGCCAGTCAGCCGGGGGAGGGATCATACTCCAGTTGCTCCAGTGTGCCTGCCACCTCCCGTGCAGGCGAGCCTTGTCTCATGACCAACAACCTTTGACTTTTGAGAGAACGCCCCATTTCAATACCGCCACAACTTCGAGACGAGGACGCTGCCGATCGAAAAAACTCGAGATAACGAAAATCATTGCGGAAAAAGCGACAAAAGAAACCGAATCTGACACACCTTTTCAAGAACTTGCACCAAAATGGTTGGTCCAGCCTTTCCCCCCCATCAGGCTGCTGGCGAGCCGCCCTCGTGCTTCTGGCTCGCCTCGCTGCCTACATTAGCTTGGAGATTTGCTCGCGCAGTCTTAACGCCTTCCTAGCTCCTCAACTTGCTGACTCTGGGCCTCTGGTCAAAGATTGGACGTTTGACTCACTACGCATTCGATGCGGTGCTCTGTAAGTCTTCAGTCGTCCTTCTGTCGAATGTCACTGTTTCGTATCGTATCGGTCGGTTCGCTAATCTTCGGTTTTCCAGTCTCCGCCTTCCTCGCTGGCATGCAGCGCTCGACCGGCCTGACGTGAGTGAATAACCCGATATTCCGATGCGAATACGAGAACTCCCTCCTCGACGACGACAAAAGACAAGACGCAAGCAGCGGCTAACATGTGCCCAACTGGGAATCGCCAGACCCAGTTTCAAGACGGACAGAGCTGCCGGCGAAAACAAGGACATGACGAAGTGGATCGAGAAGTATCTCGGTGTCGGCGAGTGGGTGATGGATCAGTCGGTCGCTATCGCCGGCTCCAGCGGTTGGTTCGAACGCAGGCGATAAATCGAAAACATCGAGACAAACACCAGTATCCGTCAACCCTTTTGCCAAACGAACCCGCCGCCCTTTGGAGTCGAATCTCCCCCTCGTTCCTTTACAACCTTAAACCAGGTCATTTTTTTGCCGCAATACGATGCTGTAAACGCTCTGCGACTGCTCGGAAGAAATCGGTGCGGGGGCCTCGCTTCTCGGCGGTGTAAATCCAAGGGGTATCGACGGATCATGAACCGGGTGTTCTCGTGGGCTGAATTCGCTGGTTATCGGAATCTCGAAAAAGCAGATTCGTGTCTCTGCATGCGGGCGTTATGGGCGAATCAGGGCGCATTTTTCTCTAGCTGTAATTCCTTGGGGAACAGGAAATCAAGCCTTCACCGGCGAGCTCTTGGTTTTATTACCTATTGCGAAAGGGCCCCCTTTGGGCACCGGGCTACCCCGTGTAAATCCTTACCACCGGACCTGTGGACCCCACTTTCGGGATCGTCCTCGTCGCGGGACAGCGGCCATAGCCGAGGTTACCGACCCAAATTCCAATGCGCCACAGTCTGCCACTGCAGCTCCTTTCGTGCGCCATAGCTCCCTTGCTTGACGATTTGTTGCTCTGTGATGTGAGACTGTGAATGCAGGTGGCAATATGGAGATAGACAAAAGTCAATTCGCGGATGGCTATAAACAAACTGCTCCATAGGAGTCCCAACTTACACCCCAACCAACGCCGGCTTGAATCATGGTCTGCGGGGTATCCTGTCCTGCCTACCTTACTGTAATTCGTACCCAGTCCAACATTCCGCCATATTTCAGATTCAAAAAAGTACAATACCCATGCATGACAAGATGCATGTTTAACAACACCTGGAGCTCTTAACAAATAGCGTACCCGATTTGAAATCGCTACGAACGCTACGGGTTCAGAGACCTTCATATTAGTCGATGCCCTCATCATTACTGTGCTCGGCAAGGAACTCCGGAGGAACCTCATTATCGCTGTCACGCCTCGAAGACCAAGTTCGTATGGACCCGACATGGGAATGGTCGTCGTCATGCTCTTCAAGATGTGACACCAGCAAGTCGGGCGGAACCTCATTGTCACTCTCTCCATGATGAACTTCTGCTGTAGCTGTGGCCGCACTGACTTGCTGCTCCTCGTGGCCATCGCCGTTGTGCCAGGGTTCTTCGATATCGTCAACCTTTGCCACCGCTGCCTGGGGCTTTGGTAGACTTCCACGAAGGAGAGTCTCGGCATCTCTAAATGCTTCAAGTTCAGCGCCAACGGCGCAGATGAGGAGATTCCAAGTGTTTTGTTCGGCCGTCCTCATGTTTGCTTCAAGCTCCAAGATGACTTTGGCCATCCGTGGCAAGAGAGCCTCGACGCCTTCTTGTTGTGCTCGCGGGGTTTGTTTGCCCTTGGCCGAAGAAGCACCGCCACTGAGAGACTGGCGCAGGTCTGCCTCGAAAGTCGTGACGAGTTTGACCGTTTCCTGCCACAACTCTGTGCCTTGGTCTAGCGCATCGCGATCCTTATCTACCTGCGCCTTTCGCTTCTGGAGAAAGTCCATTTCACTTTCCCACCAGTCCTTGGCCATGCTCAGTGTGCGTCGCGCGGGTATCATGCGGAAGAACTCAGCGCCGCCAGGCAACTCTTGGATGTCGTTTCCGGTTCCAGAGTCGTTCCGCGATACAGCTTCGACAACGTCAAGATCCAGAGGTTCAATGGGGGGCCGGCGTAGCAGGGCTGTGGCCTCTCCTTCGACTTCCTTCAAAGCTCCCCTGTAGCCACTCAAGCCAGCCTCTCGGCGGTTGTGAACGTCTTCCATCTTTCGCTCGAGCCATCGGTGCCGGTTTCTCATCCCAACCAGCTTCTCCTCGAGCTCGCGGATCTCCTGCGCTAACGTATCATGCTGCTCCCCTAAGCTTCGCAGCTCCTTTGCCAGAGGCTCCTCGTCGTCATCAGCTAAGCTGTGCAATTCTGCAGAGATGCTGACCCTGCGCTTGTCCAAGTTGTCTAGATAGGACAGAGCTTTCCTTCGCTGCGAGAGGGCCGACTCGATGTATGCATTTTCTTCCGTCTTGAGACCGGTAAGTGCTGCCAACGCCTGTCGCAACCCGCTCCGCGCCGAACGAAGGCCCTGCTGCCCCTGGACCTTGGGCTGTCGGACAGGTATTATGTCGCCGCGAGGAGTCGCGCGTACGGGAGGGTCTAAAGACGCCATCATGCGTGACTTGGACGTCGCTGTGGAATAAAATGTTCCCGTCGGCGTGCTACTCCCGGAATCGCTCCACGTCTCGGCCCCTACGGTGCTAGCATCAAGAGATTCGGCGCCGGATCCGAGTCTTGTGGCTTGTATGTCGAGTAATCGCTGCACCTCTCTGTGTAGAGCTCGTTCGCGGTGTTGCAGATTCCGCCAAACAGAGTCAACGCGGGACTTGCTTGAGTCGCGCGAGCTGTGGTCGAACATGATGCTTCCAAACGCTAATCGGCTGGACGACATGCCCTTGGCCTCGCTCTTTTGCATGTTTCCCCGGGATCCCCGCCTGCCCGGCGTCGTGGAAGGCTGTAAAACCACCGAGGCGGCTATGGGCGGTGGCGGGCCGACGAACATGGCCTTGGGCTTCAACTTGGAGACAGAGCCCGCCGGGCCAAAAGGGTCGTCGTCCCATGGGTCCACGGGAGAAGGAGAGCGCCCTTTCGACATCTTTATGGGTAACGGCGGTGACTCTGACAGCAGCGACACATCGGGCCGGGGAGATAGATCATCGAGGTCGTAGTCGTCAGAAGATTTCGGTCGGGACGTGTAGAGTGGTAGAATGGGAGACTTTTGTCGGCTCGGTGAGAGTCGATCGAGGAATCTTGGAGAACCGGATGCCATCAGGTCGCATCTGACGCTGCTGAGCAGAAGTGGGAGAGTTGGCGATGGCGCAGTCAGCAGGAAATTCGTGGTTGACAAGGTTCCCGAGCGTGCTTGTCAGAGACACGATCAAGTAGGTCTTCACTCTAGCCAGAAGGAAGTCAATAATAGTGACAAGTAGACATTGGTGATGGGTATTGAGTGTGGAATACGACAAGATGCTATGGGAAAAGTGTGACATCTATGGGACAGAGCACAGCAAAGTCGATGATGGGAATGCGAGGCCAGGTGTAGAGGTACAAGATAAAAAGTATCTTTGGCACGGGAAGCAAGAGCTCACGAGCTCTGAGCATGTGCCACAGGCGCCGATGCGAGACAGACGTCACACGGCGGGTCTTTTATCAATCGTAGCACCAAAAGGTACTTGCTTGCCTTAGGTAAGCTTGGAGTCGACCCCCGGAATGCGACCTCGAGGTGATGGTGAGGAACCCCGATGTCTGGTTATCGATAAGCAGGTATCCGGGAAAACACTATTGGGCGATGTTGCTGGGGAAAGTCTTTCAGGTTTGCCCGTTGCTCACAGGGCTCACCAAACAAACAAGCAACAGGCCCTAAACGTAAATCATGAACTGTTAGGCCCAATCAAGGTGGTCGAGAGGTGTGGTATGTCCCTACTTCATCTGTTTGCTTGCCTTCCACTTCCCTGGTGAGTGAGATATCTTTTGATGCATAGAATTTCTCCTTGGAGCCGGCCTCTCTATGTGCTTCATCATCACGAGGTTGAGAACCCTGGCCTTCCCGGAATATGGTACTTTACGCGTCTCCTCGTCCTGCCATTGTTTGGCGTCTTAGTATCACTACGGTTGAGGCATCTGTGTCGCATTGTGCGGGCCCAGGGCCACCATGACTGGCTTTTGACTATAAGAGACGCAGGCTTTCAATCAAATAATGAGATGAGCTGCCTGCCTTGGCTCACATTTCGTTACTGCCCTCATCCCCGGCAGTGTCTGCATCCGCGTCTCCGTTGTCCTTCTATGCCCAACGCCCAGGTCCAGGTCCCATTCATTCAGGTGGCAGGGCCCATCGATCATGAACGAGTCGGACGTTCATTAGTCAGAGGGATTGCGTTGTAGACTCGAGTGGTTTTTCTGCCGGGACGACAAAGCGAGTAACAGGTTGCTATGCGAGGACAAGTCGGAAAGAATTACGGGAAACAGGGCGAGCATAGGACAAGTTCAACTCTCCTCACTCTTGTTCCTCTCACCAACCATCAGATCAGACAAGACTGCGGATGCCGAAGACGTGGGCACGCCGCACTGCCACCGTCTGCCCCTGTCCTGCTGCTGCTGTGTGCGTCGTCTTCTCTTCTCCCTCGTCCCTTGTGTGTCTAGTTCCCTGATCGTCGTTGTCGTCGTGGCCATTCTTTTTCATCTTTTCTGTGTTGTGGTTTTGTTTCCCGTTCGTCCCGCGTCCCATCCACCCCCCCACGCGCGCGCATTATCTGGTCGTACAAGGAGAAACAATCCAAGAAAACATGATGCACTTTCTGGGCCATCGTCGAACGGCCTCGCAACAGAGCATCGACCCCGAGACACAACAGCAGCCACAGCAACAATGGCGTCCGCACCACCAGCATCGCCTAAGCGCGTCTTCGGCTCTGTGGCAAGCGGCCCAGGCCTTGGGGTCCATTGGAGCCCCGGCTGCTGCCGCTGCCGCTGCCACCACATCCCCTCCAGCTTCGGCTCCCTCTGCCTTTGAGTCTCTGCCTGGAGGTGGTGTTTCTGGAGGTGTTGCTTCGTCAGCTTCAGTCTCCAATGCGCCGCCTGCCAGTGTCAGTTTGGATGCCCCTCCAACTGCAGGTACAACAGGTACAACTGGCAATACCACTGGCAGTAGTAGTAGCACGGCTGGCCACACCCGTCCACCGCTGCCCAACACGGTACCTTCCTACTCGTCGTCAGTTTACTCCCAGCACTCGCAGCAATCGCAATATTCGCCGTACTCTCAGCAACAACTGCAACACCAGCAGCAGCAACGGCAGTCTGGCTATTTCCAGCCCAACCACCACTCCCATCCTTCAGCTTCGGGTCCTCCTCCTCCTCACGCCGGGCTCGGCATCGGGCTCGCTTCTCCCACAACCACTTCCTCCCTTCAATACACCCCGGGAGCCTTGAATTCAACCTCGACCTCGACACCAACGTCAACGTCCGCATCCACAACAGCAGCAGCAGCCTCCTCCTCCACTGCGGCTGGTGCGCCTGGGCCATTAGTGCCCAAAGATCCCCCCGCCTTTCCCAACTTCCACTGGGACAGCGACTATTACCAGAACACGAACAATAGGAACAACACCAACAGCGAAGGCACCACCACCACCACCACCAGCGCCGCGGTCTCTCGTACGCCCACCACAGCGACAGACTCCGCTTCCGCCCGCGCCCTCCAGCCTCACCAATCCCAATCCTATTCACACTCTCACTCTCATTGTCACTCCCATTCTTATTCGCACTCCTACTCCCAGTCAAACACCTACACTCCCTCTTCTTCCTCTCAGCCGCCTTCCTCCTCGAACAACCCTCCTTTCTCCCATTCCCGCTCCCAATCCTACTCCCAACACAACCAGCAGCGTGCCTCCATCCCCGCCGCTCTGCTTCCGGCCCATGGCCAGCAGCTGCACCGAGACTCTACCTACTCGCTGCCTACCCACTCCACTGCGACTGAGACATCAGGGCCGCCGGGCCTTTCCCCCTCCGTCACACTGCTGCCCGCGCCAACGCCCTCCTCCTCCTCCTCCTCCTCCTCGCCATCTTCTTCCTCTGCTCTCGCAGCCATGAACCAGCAGCAGCAGCAGCAGCAGTCGCCGCAGCAGTCGCAACCCCAGTTCCAAACTGGCACCCCGCGACGCACTGGTACCTACAGCTCCCAGCACGACGAATTGCACATGCCAGCGGGCATGATCCAGCACGGCCAGCCTTCACCCCGCGAATACTCATCATCCTCTGCTGCCCCCGCCGCACCCCATATCAAGCTGGAGCAGTCCTCCCCAAGCACCCACCCCCACGCGCCGCCTTACCAGAGCACATCGTCGGTGCCCAACGTCTTGCAACCAGGTGGTGCAGGCGGTCGACCTCCCGCCATCTCTGCCAACACTGCTCCCAGTATGTCTGCCATGCAGCCTCAGCAGCAGCAAGACTATCAGACGCCTTCCAAGCCTCCCAGCTTGAGCCTGTCCCACAGCTACTCGCGCTCTTCGCCTGCTGCCGGATACGAAGGTGCCTCGTCCTTTGCGCCCTACACGCCAACCACCCCCAGTGGTTCGGGATCCCAGTTCATGTCTCCGTCAGACCAAAAGTACAATGCGCCCGGCTCCCAGCGAAACATTTCGAACACGCCCTTGGGCTTGGCCGATATTCGACCCCGCGCCGACTCGAGCATGTCCGATGGCGTGCCCGGTAGCGCTGCATATGAGCTTGCCAACGCCCAGCCTGGCACGAGCAACTACCTCGCTCCTTGGGCCCTGTATGCCTTCGACTGGTGCAAGTGGCCTCCCCAAGGCAACGGCGCCGGGAAGCTTGCTGTTGGCAGCTACCTAGAAGATGGACACAACTACGTAGGAAACTCCTCGCAATGCTGTTGTCAGCTGGGCTTAGCTAACACCACTGTTTTCCACTAGATCCAAATCCTCGATACCCAAATGGTCCCGACGCCCAACGATGTCTACCAGCCGGGCACCCCAAAGATCAACCTCGAATTCCAAAAAGTCGCCGAGGCCACACATTCCTACCCTGTGACGCGCTTGCTCTGGGAACCGCCTTCTTCGCAGAAGCAGTCTACTGACCTGCTTGCGACGTCCGGCGACCACCTTCGCCTGTGGTCTCTGCCCTCCGAGAGCCCTTCCTCCCAGAACAACTCCATTACCAACCGAGCCAGAGACCCTGCCGTCACAAAACTTACGCCTCTCGCGCTTCTGTCCAACTCCAAGACCCCCGATCATACCGCGCCGCTTACCTCGCTTGACTGGAATACTGTTTCTCCCAGCTTGATAATCACGTCCAGTATCGATACCACCTGCACAATTTGGGACATTCCGTCGCTGACGGCCAAGACACAACTGATCGCCCACGATAAGGAGGTCTACGATGTCCGCTTCTGCGCCAACAGTGTTGACGTATTCGTGAGCTGTGGACAAGACGGTAGTGTCCGCATGTTCGATTTGCGCAGTCTGGAGCACAGCACCATCATCTATGAGCCCACTGGAAAGGATGAGCGAGGTACCCTCTGCCCACAATACCACTTTTGCAAGTTTCCTGACACTAATTAAACCTGACAGATGCCAATGGTGGACGAATCAGCCCTACGCTTGCGCAGCAGACCATGTCGAACCCTCCGCCCTTGTTGAGACTAGCAACCTCTCCCCACGATACACATTTGCTGGCCACATTTGCGCAAGACTCGAACGTGATTCGTATCCTTGATGTGAGACATCCTGGACAGGCTCTTCTCGAACTCCGGGGCCATGGAGGGTCCCTTAACTCCATTGAATGGTCGCCTACGAGGCGCGGCGTTCTGGCTTCCGGAGCCGACGACTGCCAGGTGCTTCTTTGGGATGTGTACAATAACAATCCTGCTCTTAGTGGTGGTCCTCCTGCCAACGGTGCTGCCCAGCCAGACCACACGAGAAGCCCGTATGCTAGCTGGCAGTGCGATTATGAAGTTGGCAACCTTGCTTGGGTGCCTCATCTTTCCACCGACCAGGGAGAGTGGTTAGGAGTCAGCGCCGGCCGGGGCCTTTGGGGTGTCAAGACATGTGGACGAACCGGCGCCTGAAGGAACCGAAGGCGACGAGCAGCAACTAATCCGACCGCCTTGCTGCGCTGTTCATAGATCTGGCTGGTCACTCATGATATATGCATCGCAAAGCCTGGCGTTTGGGGATCGGCTCTTGAGCCGGCTGTAGGGAAGGGGATACTGTCTGTGAACTATGTTTCAAATGAATTCACTTGGAATAGGCAGTCATTTGGGGCGAGTTGGTTTGCACCACAAGACTCAGTCAGTATGGCCCCCCCCCCCTGGTCGGTGGTCAGGAACAAAAGTTTGGGACAGTGGATGGCTATATACCGCCGGGAGGGCATAGTCGAAAGGGGAAGAGTGAAATGTTATAATGGTGTGCGGTGTTTATCCCGCATCAATGTGGCCGTTCCCAGTGTCCCCAATACATGTACCTACTTTTAGGTAACTTGAAAACACAGCATTTTTGTGCAAAAGTCCATTGCTGTGAATCAGAGCTTTGTCAAAGGCTGGCCACCAATGTCATCATCCAAAGTGATGACTGCTTTGCCCCAAATTTTGCGGCTTGTCATGTCTTTTAGAGCCCTGGGGACATGTTCAAGGCCAGGATACTCGACGTGATAGATGACGGGCCGTATTTTATCGGTCTCCATCAAGGGCCGCAGCTGGTCCCAGATGGCCTTTTCTTCGTCAGGATATCGTCGCAAGCTCTCGCCGTATCGCTACGAAGACCAGGTTAGCCGGTTTCTTTGGGCTGGAGGTGAGTTGGTATGGAAATCAAGTTGAAAACTCACATAACCAATCAGAGATACCTGCTTCAGAAGAACTCTGTTCATCGCGATCTTCTCCATATCGTCCTTGATACCAGCGAACCCTACAATCAGTATTTTGCCTCTGTGAGCAATGCACTTTAAGCTTCGGTCAACGAGGCCGACGGGATCAAAGACGACGTCGACGCCTCGTCCATCAGTTAGTTCCAGCACACGATTCCACCACGCCGCGTCCTCGGAGTAGTTGATGCAGACATCAGCTCCCGACCGTCGAGCCACGTCACACTTCTCAGACGAGCCCGCCGTTCCTATCACCCGGCACCCCATGGCCGCGGCGACCTGAAGGGCCATGAGACCGAGTCCTCCCGCAGCAGCGTGGACCAGAACGGTCTGGCCGGGCTGGATGCCAGCCTGGACGAGCGCTGCGTAGGATACGGGGAGCGTGGCGGCTAGCCCGGCAGCTTGGGCGAATGTCCATTTGGGAGGGATGTGGTGGAGGGGTGTTGAGGCGTCGAGTGAGATTATTTCGCTGTAGGAGCCTGTGCTGCCTCCGAAGACTCTGTCGCCGGGACGGAAGGAGGAGGCGGGTGGGGAGGAGAGGATGATGCCGGCGAATTCTAGGCCCAGTGTGAAGGGCGGCCGTACTAGGGATCGGTTGTTTTGGTGTTTTCCTCTGGCCTATGTGCGAAGTATCAGCCGGCCGACTGCGTGAGACTTGTGACGACTTGTCTTGGACTTACATAGAGGGTATCGACAAAGTTTATCCCGGCGGCCTTGACTTGGATGAGATAGCGGTCTGCTGTAGGTGTTGGCCGGTCAATTTCTGAGACCTTGACTTCATCAAAAACCTTGCCGATGGATTAGAGTGTGTTTGTGAAGTTGAAGCACATTATCAGGAGACTGGGACTTACGTTGACGAATTCATTTATAACTATAGCCTTCATCTTTTGCCTCGAGCTAATGACCATTTTCAGTTATTTAGAATCTAGTCACTAGCGAATTGCGTAGAAACGCAACATTTGCCCAGATGCAGGGGCCAGTTCCTAGTCTTTATGTATGGAGAAGGCTCATTCATGGCTGTTGTTTCTAATGAATTGGAGAAGCACTACCTAGGTGCCGAGGCTTCTATCGGCTCTCATGTCGGGCATCTGTGAGCGAACCGTATACGCATAGCTACTACGCAAGAAAGGAAGTTTTTTTTCGAATGATCGTCGCGTATGTTTAGCATCCAAGATAGATGACATAGTCAAGCACGCTTTCAGGCATCATGCAGATATCGTCACGACCTTATTATTGTCTCTGTGTCTCTATCACTTTTGTATCTCGACATCCAACCGTGATTTCTTTTTAGTTGTAGATTAACGATTGAACTCAGAACTCCAAATCCCCTGTAAATGTCTCATCAACATATGAGATGCATCACACAATAAATACTTATCGATTTAATTGCCAACACAGATTCTTCTTCTTCAGCTCGGTGGAGACAGGACGGATGCAGTGAAGTCAATCGGGGATTCAGTGGGTGACAGGAACTGGTACCACTGTAGAGCACCTACCGATTTGCCTCAGGTGTCAGTCTGGAACGATCACGCTAGTCCCCTTTCAGACAGAGATGTCCTTCGCGTTATTCGCCTGTCTTTAGTCGTTGCCTTTGCTGATTCTAAGCTTTCTATCCTCCGTTGCCTTTTCCTTCGCCTTCGCCTACACCACCTCAATCCCAACATTCGACTCGGTAGCCAAACCCCTTTGGCCCTTTCCTCCAACTTTTTGCTTGATTGATTCCCTGGAGCCGGAGCCTGAGCCTAAGGCTGCTGCCGACGGGCGAATCAGTTGGAAAGGCCATCCTTCTTTCCCTTGATACTCTGCTTCTTTTGCAGATTCAAAGGATCTCGCATCGACAACATCGCGGAAAACCTACAAGACTTCATACCTTTGACTCAACGTTCCGTCACCTTTCATCATGTCTTCCAACCGCTACGACGATTCCGAGGAGGAGGATGACTTCAACCCTGCGCCCGCCGACTTGTCCGACGAGGAACCCGACCAGCCAGCTAGCGACAATCATGCTCGCGAGAGCAGCCCTGCCGACGACGCACCTGCCCCCTCTAAATCGAGAGTAATCGATGATGATGACGAAGAAGACGAAGATGATGTGGCCCAACACGACGACGACGATGAAGAAGAGGATGAGGACGACGAGGACGAAGACGATATTCAACAGGTAAGCCTGTCGATGCCTGCGCCGTCTGCCTTCTTACACAAAGCTACTTGGGAAGGCATTAGGCAACCCTTTGCCACCTTCGCATACCCCAAAAGTCCTGATTCCCTTGGCGAGGACTTGTTTAACATTATATCAATAGGGACATCGTCGCAAGCGCAGAAAGGACCGCCGAGCCGCCTTCTTCGATATCGAAGCCGAAGTCGACGACGAGGAGGATGGCGAAGATGAAGAGAAAGATGGCGAGGAGATTGAAGACTTCATCGACAACGCCCATCCCGACGACATTGCTGAGAGCGGACGCCTCGATGATGACAGACGCCACAGGGAGCTGGACCGTCGGCGCGAAATGGAGGCGAGCATGGACGCCGAAAAGCAAGCCGAAATCCTTCGACAGCGTTACGGCAACCGCCGCCCGAACAAGGGCTTTGGAGACTCAGCCGTCGTTCCCAAGCGCCTGCTGATGCCCAGCGTCGACGATCCTACCATCTGGGCTGTCAGATGTAAGGAAGGCAAGGAGCGAGAGGTGGTCTTCTCCATCATGAAGCGCATCGAGGAGAGACTGGGGACCAAGGATGAGCTGGCCATCATTTCGGCCTTTGAGCGTGGTGGACCGACCTCCGTCATGAAAGGCTACATCTATGTTGAAGCCAATCGCTCCACCGACATCATGGTTGCTCTTGACGGCATGTTTAACGTCTACCCGCGATCCAAGATGATTCTCGTCGACATCAAGGATATGCCCGACTTGCTTCGTGTCACCAAGACCCCTACCCTGGAGCCTGGCGCGTGGGTGAGGCTCCGCAAGCCTGCCAAGCACGCTGGCGATCTTGCTCAGGTTATCGACGTTACCGAGAACGGCCTCGAGGCCAGAGTCCGCTTCATCCCTCGCCTCGACTACGGAATGAGAGACGATGCGCTATCAGCGGTGAGTGCCGACGGCAAAAGAAAGCGACCGGTCGGCGTGGCGGGCCCGCGCCCGCCCCAGCGCCTCTTCAACGAGACCGAAGCTCGCAAGCGGCACCCGAGACATATCCAGGGTAATCCCACCACTAAGGTGTGGAATTACATGGGCGACGAGTTCGAAAACGGCTTCCAAGTCAAGGATATCAAGATTCAGCAGCTGGTAGTTACCGACGTCAACCCGACCTTGGAAGAGGTTACCAGATTCGCCTCCGGTGCTGAGGACGGCACCGAGAATCTCGACCTCAAGGCTTTGGCCTCAAGCTTGAAGGACAGTAACATCAATGTCACATACCTGCCTGGTGATATCATCGAAGTCTATGAGGGCGAGCAGAAGGGTGTGGTTGGCAAGGCTACCAACGTCCAAGGTGATATTGTCACCATGCAAGTCACAGAAGGAGTACTTGCCGGACAAATCATTGAGGTGCCGACCAAAGGCCTGAGAAAGCGTTTTAGGATTGGAGACCATGTCAAGGTTACCAGCGGCAGTAGATTCCGCGATGAAGTTGGTATGGTCGTCAAGATCTCGGAAGACCGGGTCACTTTCTTGACCGATCAAACCAATACCGAAGTCACTGTCTTCAGCAAGGATTTGCGTGAAGCCAGCGACATCGGAGGACAGGGCTCGCTCGGCCAGTACGAGCTGTTTGATCTGGTTCAGCTGGACCCCACTACGGTCGGTTGTATTGTCAAGGTCGACCGTGAGTCGGTGGTGGTCCTCGACCAGAACGGAGATACCCGGCAAGTCATGCCTTCGCAGATCGCGAACAAACTGCCAAAGAGGAAGATCGCCGTGGCCGCCGACAGAAACGGCTCCGAAATCAGACTCGACGATGTGGTCAGGGAGTATGGTGGTCAGCAACGCCAGGGCAAGATTATCCACATCCACCGTGCCTACGTTTTCCTGCACAACACCGACAGCAATGAAAACGCTGGTGTTTTCGTGACCAAGGCTGGCAACGTCAACACAATTGCTGCTAAGGGTGGGCGTGTACTTTCAGCTGGCCCCAATCTGGATCAGATGAATCCCGCCATGAAGCGCAACCCCAACGGATCTGAGAGCAAGATGGCACCACCCAAGAGCTTTGGAGGACGTGATCGTGCTATCGACAAGACAGTCATCATCCGAAAGGGCGGTTACAAGGGTCTTCTCGGCATTGTCAAGGATGCGACTGACACACACGCTCGTGTCGAGCTGCACACCAAGAGCAAGACAATCACTGTACCTAAAGATCACTTGAGCTTCAAGGATAGAATCACGGGAGCCAAGATCGAAATCAACGGTCGCGGGGGTCGTGGTGGACACAGCGGCCCTCCGGGTGGTGGTCGTGGAGGGCATGGAGACTGGCAAGGAGGCCGAACCCCCGTTGCCTCTGGCGGCCCGGAGAGAACCCCGGCCTGGGGCTCAAGGAGTAAGTCTGCCCCTAATTCTATCTTTCTGTTGAAAGTGGTTGCTAACAAGTACAAGCTCCTGCGCCCACCGGCGGTCGCACTCCTGCATGGAAGTCAAGTGGTCCAGATTACGGCGGATCGCGTACGCCAGCATGGGCCGATGGGTCACGAACCGCCTACGGAGACGGCAACCGCACCGCGTACGGCGGAGGTTCGAGAACTCCTGCTTGGCAGTCAGGCGCAAAGACACCAGCACATGATGCTTTCGGCCTTGGTTCGAAGACGCCGGCGTATGGAGGCGGAGATGCCTGGGGCTCTGGATCAAAGACACCTGCTTACGGCGGCTCTGCGCCTACTCCCGCCGCCAGCGGAGGCGACTCGTGGGGATATACCCCCGGCAACTCTTACGACGCGCCGACACCAGGTGGTGCTCTTCTAAGTGCACCAACACCCGGTGCTCTCAACGCCCCCACTCCTGGTGCTTACTCGGCGCCTACCCCTGGTGCCGCAAGTGCCCCAACTCCAGGCGGCGGATGGCAAGGTGGATGGGGAGCAGACTCGGCGCCCACACCGGCTGCCGGTGCTCCTACCCCGGCCGCCAGCGGCTTCAACTCCTCATCAGCCTACTACGGCGCGCCGACTCCTGCGGCATATGGCGCACCTGAGACTCCGGCTGCCAGCGGACCCAGATACACCGACGACGACTAGATGCCGAGGGTGTAGGTCCGAGAGGAGGTCGTCCGATGCGTCGTAGCTGGCTTGTTCGTTTGGCGATGGGAGGCAAGGCAAGGTTGTACATTACCCGGCGTTTGTGTAGAAAAGGAAGATGCGCCCAAAGTCGTGCGCGTTCATAACAGGAGACATACCAATCTCCCCCTTAATCGAGTTTGAATCTGCCTGGGTGAAAATTGTTTTCTGCAAAGGGGGGCCATTTACTGCTCTGTAACTATATTATCCAAATCATAGAGCAGCACATATCCAGTCACAGCCAAATTGAAATGCTGTAAGGTATTCCCGATTGATTATATTGATTGCCTATCATGCTCCAATCTCAAATTCTCGCAACTTGCTCGTCTACCGTCTCACCCCAAATGTCACACAGCTCACTGGACTTTACGACATTGCTGTACATGACTTTGTTGCTTTGAAATCGAGCATCCTTGGTCAGGTACTTTACTGGTAGAATATATTCTCGAATAGCTATCACCACAGCTCGATTTGGCATATCACGTCTCCAGGCATATGGTGGGACGGAGATCGTTACTGTCTTTGCAATGCCAACTCAATTTGGGTCAGTAGACTACGCGCCTACGCCAACACTCTACGGCCGCACTTGAGCTCTTGAAGAATGATAAAAGAAAAGAAAAGCCAAATTCCCTTGGGTTGTTGAAAAACCTGATCGTTGGCGCGGACGTCAACTGAAATGATAAACCAAGAAATAGTAATGATTATGAACAACAGGCTTCGCTTCATAAATCCGCAATACGCCTCCGCTGCTTCAAGCGTACTCTACGCGTATGAAAAACCCCTGCAGCCATCGATAAACTCTCGTCCTCACCTCTCTTCACCTCTTTTGGTGTCCTTTCCTCACTCGCCCCCTTCTTCTCCAAATCGTATGCCGATCTACTTAGTCGCGATGATGGCCTTGTTGGCACAATCGGAGCAGATTTTGAGGCGGTGCCACGCGTTGGCCAAGTTTCCACGCTGGTTGTAAATGGCCGAGTAACTCTCGGGTTGCGAGTTGTATGCCTCATCCGTGGCCTTGACGAGCAGGGTGGTACACTTCTTAGTCCCTTCACCTGGCTCGCCAAGCGGGATTGCGCCGTCATACCTCCAGCGCTTCCATGCCCAGGACTTGTGACCGGCCTTTGGCGGGGCTCCAGGCTCGTCGAGCAACTCGGCTTGATCCCAAGTTTTGCCATTGTCGACGCTGATATCGACACGAACAATACGGCGACCGCCACCAGAGTAGGCGTAACCCATGAGAGACGCTTCGCGGAGGCTGTCAGCTTTCTCGTTCGCCTCTGACTCACTTGTTGTTGCTTTCCAATCACCTAACCTGACGGTGGTGATGGCGCTTGTGATGGGCATCTCCTGAATTGGTGCAGCGCGGTCCCAGTCGGGGCTCGTCTCGTTGGGGCCAAAGCACTTGTAATCTTTGCGCTGCCATTGGCTGTGGCTTTCTTCGTCAGAAATAGTGATCTGGCTCAACCACTTGACGGAACGAGCTGCCACATGGCCCGGCACAAGAGCACGAAGAGGGTATCCATGGTCTCGCGGCAGCGGCTTGCCATTCATCGAGTATGCCAGCAAAACGTCACCACGCGGGTCCAGAGCAGATTCGATGGGAATTGACGCGCCATAGGCTTCGAGCGCCATGAACTGAACGTGCTTGGCCTCCGTATCTCCAGCAATGGCCTCAAGTATAGGAATACCGGCATCGGCAAGTACGTCAGTGAGTTTCACGCCCTGCCATTCCGCACAAGAGATGGCGCCGACATTCCACTGGAGTCCGTTGGTTTTCTTCGCGTTGCGCGTCATGTCGCTTCGGCGGTTGCCAGAGCATTGCAAAACAGCCACAACAGTGGTAGGCTTGAACTTGGTCTTCAGGTCATCGAGAGAGTACTCCTTGATGGTGCCATCGAGGAGCTCAATCTTGAGAGTGTAGTCCGAAGTATCATCGACCTGGGGAACCCACATGTGGTTGCGCACGTAGAAGAGCTCATTGGGAGTGAGATAGCTGTCAGCCAGGCCTTCCACGGGTGTCTCTGCATTGCGAGGCTTGGGAGTGAGGGTGATGAGTCTCTCGTCACGGGTAGGATCGTGCTTGAAGGGGTCTTCTATTTCCTGAGCAGCGGGCTTGCCGTCGACAAGGTCGTCCGAGTCGATGAAGCCAATCAAGTACTGTTGAAGGATTTCATAAACGTGGGGCGACTTGTGGATGGTGAAGATGTTCCAGTAGGGATCAATGCTACCTCCAGCGGCACGGAGGATGACATCACCTCCGGGGTGGGCGGCAACCCAGTCAGTTATGTCGTAGACCTTGTCGCCTTGGGTAACCCATGGGCTACCGGATTTGGCATCATGTTTTCGGATTTCGGAGAGCCTGAAGCGAGGGATAGATGGGTCGCGGTCGTCGGTGGACGAGGCCGGGTCGGAGGCATCTGCTTCTTCCTGAGTGGGCACATGGAAGGGCTCCGAGAGGCCGACGAAGAGAGACAAGAGCCCGCCGCTAGCGAGCAACGTACTGACGGTGGCCGGACCCTTGCGGCGGCGTGGGTGCTGGGTCTCACGCTCTTCTCCGCGCTCCTCCCCTGGGCGGGTAGTCTGGTGTTTCTGGGTATGTTCCTGACTATCACGGCCACCGGCCAAGGGCTTCGAGGAGGAGGCGGATGTCGGTCGGGGGTGTCTCGAGCAGGCAGAGGCGTGTAGAGGACGACATCCTGGAGGAGGAGCGTGAGAAGGAGGAGCGGCAGCGGCAGAGGCAGGGATCCAGCTCGCTCGCCATGGTCCAGGAGGGCCAGGAGTCGGACGAGGAGGGACGGGCCGCCTTGTCGAGAGCTGTAAGAGCTCGCTAAATAGACGCCGCGGCGCTTGCATTGTATTTGGATCAAGGTGAATGGCTAGATTGGGCGGGATAGGCTTCGTTTGGTGGTGGACGACGTCGAGAGCGCGGCTCTGGTGTGGAGCTTGGACGTGAGGTGACTGACCGGGGCGATGGCGTGATTGCGCCTCGATGGCCTTTTGGCTGTTTTGAGAGGAGGGAAAAACTCGAAAGTGGGTCTGCACAGTTGGGTGTGGCACGTGTGTGTTTGCATAAAACGTGGTGAAAGTGTCTTATGTAAGGTGGGTGCATGGGCCGTTGTGCAAGTGGTACGTGCTTCTCACCGGGGACCACCGACGTCGCCGACCGAGGGATCCACTTTCGGCTCTTCTTCCTTAGGTAAGCAAGCTTTTTGGGGGTCGGTGAGGATGGGATCAATTCCAGAAAGAGGCGATAGCCAGGATCTGGGGCAAGACATGGGGGGTTCCTTTTGCTTTAACACATCTCAATCCGTTGATTTCTATTAACATCATTGGCACTGGCCTCCCACATGTCCCGAACTACCTACGCTGAAGGGCACGTTATCAGACTTTCAGCCGACAATAAACTCAAAACCAAGAGAATCCGTGTGTCATGGTGCTCCAAGTGGCCGAACGAGACCGATGAAAGCCGCGTAACCGCCCACGTGGACCCCGAACACCGTCGCGGCCCGGCCCCGATACGTCTCAACCTCCATCCTGGGCCCTGTTAGTCGCCGACACGATGGAGACGGCAATCACCTACTGTCGTGAAGCAGCTCTCTCGTTACGACTATCTGCTTCGTGAATTCCGCACGTGTACGGAGTACAGACACACAATACTCCGACACTTGCTTCCCCGCAACTCTAATTGAACCTCTGCATACGTCCCAGGCCATCGGCGACGACCCAGTCACCCGGGCTTCTTGTTAAGTAGACCAATCACGGATAAGCCAATTGTCAGTGAGGTAGTTGCGTTGTTGAGTGGATCATCGTTCATCTCAAGAACGTCACTCAAGGGAGCCACCAAAACCATTCTGCGAATGAAGCTATTCTCCGATGGTTCAACTCACCCCAGAGCTCAACCAAAGAAGCTCTGATTGGGTTATAACTGTCTACTATAAGATCTCTATATCACAGCAGTCACTCACACTTACTTCACCACTCAACGCCCCTGAGCACTCGCGCTCACCTTGGCCTTCTTACGATGCCTCTCCTGTGTCTTGTCCTTGCCCCCCTTACTGCCCTGTGCTGATGACTCCCCGGTCTCGCGCTTCCGCTTCCCACCGGAAGATCCACCAGAAGCATCAGCTCCATCATCTCCGCTCTCCGGCACCAGCTCCGTGTCGCTAGCCTGGCTCAGATCGTCCTCTTCCCCACGGTCTCGGTATGTCGGGTCGTGGGTGAGAGATCCACGATACGGCTTGCGCTTCTGTTTAGTCCGGTTCCCTGAGCCGCCTTCGCCATTGTCCTGCTCCTCATCATCATCCTCGTTGCCTTCTCTATCTTTCTCAGCTCTTTGCTCATCCCCTTCGTCCTCTTCATCATGCTCATTGACGGCCGTATTCAACTCATCCTCATCCTCCTCTTCTTCCTCATTTCCTGGTACGTAACTCCGCAAGCCGTCGTCCTCGCTCTCATCGCTGTCATCGTCATTCCCAGGCCGGTAACGCAATCCCCAGTTCTCTTGGTTGCCGGGATGATTCGGATCCCGAATCCACGAATTCCTCCCGGACACAAAAATGTTATCCTTGGGGAATATAGTCCTCTTCAAGTCCGGGTTGTCTCTGACAAAGGTTTGTCTGAGTTCGACCACAGCGCCCGCTTTTTTGATATCGTTCTTCGAGATCCAACCGACTTTGCTTGGCAGTATGCCGTTATCTTCACGGTCTATTTCCACTTGACCTTGTCTAGCTGGAATTCGGCAGCTACGTCTCGGATCCGAGTGTGCCTAAAGGTGATGGATTAGCTCGGTGTGCCTTCGGATTACAAAGTACTCACGTCTATCTGCTCTTGTTTAGAAGGTTCGCCTGGAAAGATAGCCTTGGGAACCGGACGCAAGCATCGTGAACAGTACATTCCGGCAGTCGGCACAAACTTAGCCGCGGACGTACTGCCGACGTTCGTTGGCGTTTCCTTGATCTTCTTGGGGTCCTTAGTCTGCTTCTTAGGATCTTTAGTAGTGTCTTTTCTTGTCCCCTTCGGACCCCTTGGGCCCTTTGGCGGCTTCGGTCCTTGGCCAGGGCTGGTCACCAAAGTGGTGGCTTCGGGCCTCCTGGGACCTGTAGGCGGAGGGCTAAGAATCCGCCCGGGCTCATTTGTCCGGCCGCCTTGATGGCCTCCGGGAACTGTAGCACTGGTATCTGATCTTCCCCCTTGACTGTTTTTGGGGCCGTTTTCCCGAGAACCCCCAGGGCGGGGACTCTTTTGCCGAACGTCGCGGGTACTGGGCACATCTCCTTGATTGTCACCGGATCGGACGCCAGGGCCTGTTCCTGTCTGCCTCTCGCCTGTCGCAACTGGCTCTGGCACCCCACCCTGTATGTCTTTGAGCGGTGCCAGACCTGGAACTGGATTCTTTCCTTCGCGAATTCTCTGCTGTCTCCTTTCTTCGCGAGCAGCCGCGAGTTCAGCGCCCATGTCGCGGACCACCTGTGCCTCAAGGGGCTCGATAGCGTGCGCCTTCTTCAAATGCTCGTTCCACTGGAGCTGGTTCATGAAGCCCACCATGGCGCCACACTGGTCAAAATGAGGACAGCGCTTGTCGCGCCGGTCCAGTGCGCTCTCGTTCTCGGGGTCCCAAAGGCTGTGGCCCGGATTGAAGGGTTCCTGACTGACTATGGCTGGAGGCCGAATAGTGCCGGTCAGAACGTCCCAAAGTTGATAGACGTGGCACTCCATGTGTGAGACCTGATCTTTCCTGTCCTCCCACTCCCCAAGCTCCGGTTGCTTTTCGTAATCTTCCTTGGGCCTCTTGAACGACATATGGCAGAGCGGACACTGTTTCAGAGGCTCCCCAAGATGCTTATTTTCAAAGTGTCCCAGAACTTCGGACGGCATCAGGCCGAACAGAGGTTCACGACACCCGGGGGCAGGACACTCAGAAGGTGGGTCCGACGTAGGAATTGGTCCTGGCTTGTCATGCCACATGAGGGGGTGGCTGAGATAGCGACTAGAAGCGCGAGGACGACGCTGTTGTCTGAGTAAGGCCGCGGAGGTCTTCTCAGCACCTACGAAGAGAGGGTCGACCGACGTGTCAACATCCTTCCAAAGAGCCTCTGGATAAATGTCCCAAGGTGATGGCTTGGCGCCTTCTTGTTTAGGGCAAGCCGTAATATGTTTCCTGATGTCATCAACAGGTTCCTGTGTTCCATCGTTTACAAAGGATTTCTGGCAGTACGGACAGAAGCAACCCAGGGTACCATAGAAGCCTCCACAGAACTTGCGGTGCTTGTCGGTTTTCTCGTCTGAAAGCTTCTTCATCGAGAATCCGCACTTGGTGCAATGCGGTTTGTTCTCGTGAAGAGTGCCGTGGCACTTGTGCGGATACGTGTCGAAAGGTGCAAGATCTTTGGCATCTTTCTCATTCTTCCACTCACGATCTCCGCAAAGTTTGCAGAATGTACACCTCCCAGCTCCCTCAGCCAAGGGGACGCAAACACGATCATGATGCTTTCGGTCCTCATAGCTCTTGAGTTCCTTGTGGTCACGGCCGCAACGATCACAGTATCGATAGCCTTTCTCTCTATCGCTGGCTTTGGCTGGCTGTCCTGGCTGAGGCAACGGGCCAACTGGAGGTCTGGTTTGGCCGGTGATTCTGAAGGTTGAAAGAGATGTCGTAGCCCCCGAAGGACTATTGCGCGGTCTTTGAGGGATGAACTTCGTTTGAGGTGAACGTGACTTGGGTGTCTCGGGAAGCTGAAGCACCTTTCGCAACTGGTCTGCGTGGGAGTTTCGATAGTGTTCTTCTTTCTGCTTATAAGACCAGTGCCTAAAGAGCTGGGTGTCACACCACGGGCACTTCTCTCCGACATGAGTCTTCTCTAGATGCGTGAGGAGCGTCTTGTCTTCATCTTGGCGATATGTGAAGCGGCATTCCTGATACGGACACGCGGCGAGCCGAGCCAGATTCACCTTGGAAAGACTCCAGACTTTATCCTGTAGCTCCCGCTGCTCACTGGGCGTAAGAACGTTCTTGGTAACCATAGGGACTCGACCTGCCCCAGTCCTCAGGACGGCCTCTACGGGCGGCGCGTTGATCGGGAAGGAGGGGTTCCAGACACCCATGTCGAAGATGCTTGGCTCCTGCACATAGCTTCGCTCACGGGGTGTCTGATCGGGCTCTCTTGGCATAGGGTAAGCTGATTTCCGAGGAGCTGGAGCCGGCGTCTTCGGTTCCTGGAAGACCACATGGCGGAGCTTGCCAGGAGGAACAATTGCCGGCAAGGACAGCTCTTTCCGAAAGGGGATCACTTCGCCATACCGAGGACCCCAGTGGTTATTTGCCTCGGTTGCTCCAGCTAGTGTTTGGACTACACGTTTCTCAGGTTAGCTGCGATATCAGGGGATATATAGGGAGCGTATCTTCTCACCAAAGTCCAACTCGCCATCTTGCAAGACGTCTACTCGCGCCAACTGAGATAGGAGGAAACGCCGGGCCATGGCTGCCTCGGAGTCGGTGGCATCTGGCCGGAGAACGAAGCTGGACGGGTTCCAACTCCCTCCAAATGTCTCTTCGTCAAAAATGGGCTCTATGAGAACGCTGTCCTTTTCGGCGTCATATGTGATGTTTTTGTCTCCGGAATACAGAGTTTCCACTGTGGATTTCAACGCTTTCATAGTGAGAGGCTTCATGTTGAATGTTGCCTGACCCGTTTCTCCGTCAACCGACTCAATGGTACATGGTTCCTCGGGTCCGTCTACGGGCTGTATCACGAAGAACTGACAGGGCTCGTCCTCGTCGTCGACAGAGCTGGAAATGAGCTTTGACAACGTCTTCTGGGCTTGTTTCGAAGAATCTCTATCCCGATGGTTCCATCGAACTGGGGCGTAGGTACCAGCAGGGTAACTGACCAGTGGGTTGAAATAGTCGATTCCGCGCCAAATAAGGTAGTGAGAGGTCTCCATGAGCATTCTGACGCTCTTCGTCATTAGGCCGACCTTTTGCAGGGCATCGGGATATGGGTCTCCGGAGCCTGTCCGTCGAAGGCACCCTCGGTTCTTGATAGTGCTGGCGTCGTTCAAGTTTCCTGGCAGGTAGAAAACAACGGTATCGTCGGCCAGGGGGCGTGTCTTGACTCTGAATGCTTTGCCCTTGCTGATGTAGGGATGCATCATGTCCCAGAGTTCGCGGTGGATTTCTAGACCACCATACCACGGTGATGGGAATCCCTCTGGGTTGTCATCATCACGTGAAATGACAAGATCACAGTGGTTTCCTCCTGGCCGATCCGGCCTTCCCACCAGCACTTCTTGTGCCGTCGTGAAGAAGGGCATGTATTGGTTGGAACCCCAGACTTTTGTGGGAGGATATTTATAGCCTTCCTGCATGGAGCCAAAGAATTGTTTGCGATCAGGCACTTTAAAGTACGAGAGGTTTTCCCTCCCGTCATCGTCAACATGAGTCAACTTGATGAGCGTGCTTGAGAAGAAGGACTTTGGAGGCTGCCACTCAGAGGGTATCTCTTCGCCTCTGCGAAGCACAAACCAGGCCGAGTTAGACTCGGACTTAGTTGCCTGGCCCAGATGTTCCACAAGATCACTGACAGGGTTGAGTGGGATGTTGTCATCGAACTGCTGCACAACTTCCGCCGTCTCGAGATCAAATTCCACGAGGACAATGTCGCTTTGCTCCCGTTGGCGCAGAGAAAGGAGCTTTCTGGCAGCTGCCTGGAACGTGGACATGTCGTCAGGGTCGAACATGACTCTGCCTTGGAATCCAAACAGAGGAACCCAACCATGTGTTTTGTCCGACTCTGGGGATGGTTGCCCGGTCTTGGAGGCCATTTCAGACTGTTTCTGACGTCGCCTCGACTCAGGCGTGTTAGGGTCTCTTCCTGGGGTGACTCTGTTTGATATTCCCGCCAAAGGCATCGTCACGGTCTCACCGCTCGAACCGTCATCCGGTGTATCGTTATCTTCGTTTTCTAAAGCCATCGCACTTTCTGATGGGCCAAGGGTTTGGCCTACATCATCATTTGGCGAATATTCCGCATCTACCATGGAGGCATCGTCATCGTCGCCCCCTCCGCGAAGGCTCAGCCCTTCGCCAATGGCGCCTGTCATTTGGGAAGCTGCCACAGGGATGGTGCTGTAATGGTCCTCTTTTCCTTTTCTTCATCTTAGCTTGACTAAAGGCACTTGGATAGCAGGTACTAACCTCTCATGTAGTCGTATCCAAAATTCCTCTGGTCGTGGGCAGTCAAGAAGTGCAGGGGAGGGCGAACCTCGACAGTACGTAGTTCATCCCAGTCGTCCACATCAAAGTCTGGTTTCGAAAAGCGTGTCAGCTCAGATAAAACTGGCTCGACAGGCAGACCGAAGTAAAGCATCGTGAACTTCGTCGCCAGTGAGGAGCGGCATCCTTTGAATCTGTTGGTCATCAAGCTTTGATATCGCCGGGCGCTGTCTTCTTGACAGTCTCTCAAACTGCGAGGCTCCGTAGCTGGCATAAAAAGCTTCCGCTCATGGGATGTGAAGTAATCCTCCAAGACCTGCCCTATCTGCGTGGTAGGCAAGCTGAGCAGATCTTTGAAGTGCTCATGGGTGGTCTTCCAGGCCTTATCAGCTGGTCTAATGAGAGGATTGTACCTCTGCTGAGGCTCGGGTGCCTTTTTGATCGGTTCAGACATGCCGGGATGGACGGGAAATGGAGTTCTACAAGTCTAAAGTTTGAGATAATTGATAGTGTACGAGTCAAAGGCAGGGCAGAGAAGGAAGAAAAAGAGTGGTGAGTTGAGCAAAGGTTGAGAAGAGATGTGTGTTGTGTTAACCAAAAAGCTTTGCCAAAAGGCGTCTCAAATATCAACGGACGAGTCTATTCAAAGGGATAAAGGAGGTTCCACCATTGCAGGATGCAAGTTGTGAATGGCATTCTGAAATAGCTGAAGCCTTTGACAAGGTAAGAATGCCAGCATTGGTAGACTTGGAACGCTGATGCCCATTGCCCATTGTCTATTGAAGCTTCCTCAGGGCCAAAGCCACCGATAATGGATGGAAGCGGAGCATCTTTGTTCGCACTGGATATCCCTTGCGAACGTACATGGACCAGCAGAGGTAGGAAGCAAACATGCCGACGTTTCTTATCCCTTAGCCTGGCAGCTGAAGCCAGATGCATGTCGATTGATGCTGATGTAGGTAGGCACCCGGACAAAGACTTGGAACAGAATGGGGTCCCCAGACCATCTCGGTCTCCAGAAGCTCCGGGATCGAATTGTGACACTGGCAATGGTTATAGAGCTCTGATCTTGGAGCTCGATCTCAGGGAGCGAGAATGAGAAAAAGAAGTTCAATGATGCCATTGTCCTTTACGTCAACTTCGTGGCGGTTAACACGGTTTCAGAGAGCTTGTTACCAAGGAAAGCCATACATTTAAAGGTGTGACAATCATCCGCATCTGATGGGGTTGTAAGTACCTCTTTTGGCTCACGCTTGATGTCAATATCGAGGTCGAGGTCTGTGGACTTGCCTCCCGTCGTGTTCCATCTGATTTCCCTTGTTGCGGTGTAGATCGGGGACGATATGCGAACATCTGCAGCAATGGGAAACAGTGATGTCCAAGAAGTAGAAAATGAACGCGTTGGTTTCATGTAACCTGGAAACTTCTCATCCATAATAACCCAAGAAAACTGGGATCACAAGGCGATTAAAAGTAGACTCTTCATGGGTATGTAGTCACAAGTAGTAGCGGGAATGGGTTGTAGAGAGTGCCAAATAACAAACGGCCATGGCAACCAATATTTTAGTATTGACCAACCCCACGAGTGAACAAAATATCAATCGGGTAACGAGCCCAGCCTTTCAAGTCGAAACACCCCAAACCAGCTATGAAGAAAATGACTCTCCAAGAATACGCATCGCCTCAATCCTTGACTCCCAAACGCAGCCACTCTGTTTTTTGGTATCAAACCACCCTAGCCCCTCGCGGGAAAGAAGAAAGAAAAAGCAGGTTTTTTATAATACGTCCGTACAAATAACTATTACACAAATTCGCGGCTTTTGCGAGCGAGGACGCGAATGTTGTCGACGAATGCCTCGACAAGTTGCTGGTATTGATGCGGCTCGTTTCTCATTGCGCGGCGTTGTTGATCCATGACGATTTCGGGTGATAGCTCTATTTCCAGTTCGTGCTCCTTGCTCATCTGTGAGGTATTCTTTTGTCTTTGTTAGCAATGCCCAGGGGCTACATTTCCAAGCAAGAGTCGACTTACTCCAGGACCAGGCATCATTTGTGTCACTTGCGTCAAGTCGACCTGGTAGTGGTTTTGCTTGTAGCTGAGACGGTCCTTGTTCCGGTCAGGGAACTTATCTGCGTGACCTACAGCCACGCTTTCTAGTTCCTCAAGGGAGCCATCCCATGGCATTTCGAGGTTGATGCTAAGGCGACAGTCGAGTGGGCATGTGGGAAGATGTAGGTGGATATCTGCCACGCGGGCCTTGACAATCATGGCCAGGACCTGCTGCGTCTTTTGGTCATGTGTGACTCGAACCTTGATTGAACGCCTGTTACCTAGGAGGGAACGGACGCAACCAGGGAGACGGGCCTGCAGAGCATTTGGCAGCTCGTAGAACTTGTCAATCTCTCGTCGATGTTTGTATTGTACTTGTACTCGGCCGCGTGCGTTGGGGTTTCGGGGATCTGTCTGCACAACCAAAGTGTTGAGAAATTCGTTGAGACCTTTGTGCTGAGCCTGCAGAGAAACAATGAGATTAGCCTTCGTGATTCCTTTCCAAGGAAGATCAACAAACAAACCTCGGTCATGCTGCTTCTGAAAGCCAGGCGCCCAGTGTCATGCAGAACACATTCCGAGCCTATCGCCCTCTCGACACGGTCATTAGTATCTCTGTCGATGAGCTGTCCCATCTTGGCCTCAATTTCGAACTGCACGCCACGTCCTATTATCTCCCCATTATCAGGATGGAGTGTGACGTTTTTGAACAAGAAATCGGCGATCGTCTTGGACAACTCTTCGTAAGGTCGAGTACCAAGAATGCTTTCCTCCCAAGGGCCAAGCAAACCTTCGGTCTTGGGCGGCGGCGGCGGCGGCGGCGGTTCCTGAACTGGAGGAGCGGTGGATCTCGTTGCCTCTGGTGAGGTGTGGCGGCTGGTACTATCCTGCTTGACAGACTCGGACTTGCCATTGATGTGCGGCGGCCCTCGTTTCTGGAGCTCGAAATTGGCCAACTTGAGCCTCTTATTTTCTCGAGCATTCCATGTCTGAGCCCAGATGGGGGGTGTCGCGTGAATCTTCCTCTTTCGTTGCATCACGGGCGACCTAGAGATGGCAGGTCCACCATTGAGCTCGGCAGGCGGCGGCCGTGGCTCCTTCCTTTCCAATTCTCGGGGACTCAAGTCTCGGTCGGCAAGTTTTCTCTTGGCGGGTGTCGCAGCGCGTTCGCGTTCCGGTTCCACCATGTTGGTGACGCTTGGGTGCGGTCGCACTTCGGGTTCTGTCTGTCCACCAATGCTGCTCGGCAAACTCGGTATTCTTGTCTTGGGACTGACGCTAATGCTTCGGTCGCGTTCACTATGTGATAATGATCTTCGTTCGTGGGTGCTGTGGGAGGAGCTGGGCATGCGGACTGGTGGAGGTGGTGGTGGTGTGGCTTGGGCGAGGTGTGAGGCGGACAGTCTCTGTTGATACGGGCTTTGTGGTTGTGTAAAGCTTGGTGCAGTGGAAGATTGTCGAGGCCCGGTCTGGGGCGGGCCCAGTGGGGTCGGAGGCTGCGAGAGCTGCCGATTGAAATCGGGCGGCGGATGCGCCGTCGCCACAGGACTACCGTGAAGGGGATATGGCTGGCCGTGATGCTGCTGCTGCTGCTGCTGCTGCTGCGGATGCTGACTATGGGCAGATGTAGGTGTAGGAGTTGAATGGGTTGATTGTGAGCGCTGATGGAGATATGGATGCCCACCAACAGGGGTCCCAATGGGCGGTGTCTGAGGCATATGTTGCTGCGATGGTGGCGGTTGCTGCTGTTGAGCATACTGAGGCGCCGTTGCACCAGATGGATGAGGGTAGCCATCTCTTGGGGGGAACGCGTTGGACGGTGGATATTGTTGGTGTCGTTGCACAGGGCTGGCAGCTTCCTGAGGCGGGCCGGTCGGCGGGAAGGGGTAACCTCCACTTGGACCGCTCACGGAAGACGTCGGCGTATGGCGATACGGAGACGGGCCTGGCATGGAGGCACTCTGAGGTGATCGCGCATCGGCGTAAGGGGCGGGAGCACCAGCTTGAAGCGGCGGCGGCGCTGGCCGGCCGGGGCCGGGATACGGGCCTGAAGTCTGATAAGGCGACTGCGGAGGGTACGATGGGGTCGTGGCCTGAGGATGCACAGCGTATTCCTGAGGTGCTGGCGGCTTGCCAGGGGATGAATGCAATGCGTGACTGTACGCCGATTCTCTAAAGGCATAAGCCGTCGTGGCCTGGGAAGGTGTCGTGGGGGCATGTTGCTGGTATGGTAGCTGAGGTGGCGGTTGCTGAGGCGGCGGTTGTTGCTGCAGTTGGTGGTGCTGCTGCGGATGATGCTGATGCTTCGGCGCGAGATGTTGAGGAGCGTGAGGATGCTGCTGGTGACCATGGGCGTGGGCATGCGCAGGATGACCAGGAGGAGGGCCACCAGCAGCGGCGGCGGCCGCGGCAGCAGCACGCGGCCTGTTACCCCCGTCATCGGACGTGTTCATCAAGGCTCTTAAATCCATTGTGTGTATCGAAGGCAAGGCGTGCCGTGGGTGTTGTGGGCTAGAATCCCTTGCTCGCGTTCCTTTGTCTGGAGCAGCGCTCCGCCCAGCTTCAGCTTAGATGCACAATATTCGGCTTCGGCCTCTCAAATACAGCGGTTCATGTGTGCGACGAGGAAACGGCTGGAGATAAGGAGAGAGACAATGGCGATCGGATGAGATTTGCAGATTCAGCGCGATTCTAACGAGACGGGATGGATGGATGCGCAAGAGGCATTCATCACGCCGCAGTATTTCAGTGGTGAGTCAGGTCGAGAAGATGGCAAAGGTCGGTTTCGGGTTCGTCGTGGATGTCGGGATTCGGAGAGACGGGAAGGACTGGAGTTCAGAGATAGCTCCAACCGAGGACAGCAAGGCATGCGCTGGGCGTGAAGGGTAGAGAGACGTGGGAGCGCAAAGGCGACGAATTCGAGGTCGAGGTCGAGGTCGAGGTCGAGGGCGAGGTTTGAGCGAGAGGGGTCGTTTGTCGTTTGCTCGAATCGACGTGGATGGTTGATTGGTGGCAAGTAGGTATCGAAGACGGCGGACTGGTAGTGTGGTTGGAATCGACGTCGCGAGTTGGTCGTCGTAATCGTAAGGAATCGGGTGGAGGATTTGAACGACGTGGACGTGGTTGGAGGGAGCTGAGACGAGCTGTGTGGGTGGATGCGATTGAAGATGCGCGCTTCGGAGTGGGTTGGAGAGGGCGTCGCAAAGTGCGAATGGAAGCTTTGGTGTTTTGAGTGGCCGGGTGCGGATGCGGGTGCGTGTGCAGCCTTGTTGCGTGGATGCGCTCTGGGTTGTTGGTGGTGGTGGTGGTGGTAGTGGTGGTGGTAGTGGTGTGCAGAGATGAAGCGGGCGGATTGGAGATGGGGGAATATATCTCAGCAAGAAAACATCTTGTCCTCTCCTGTT